ATGGACATAACAGAGTATACTGTTTCGCCCATGATAGATTGCCATTCCTGAGACTAATTTCAATGATATCCCACTCTTCAAACCGAAACACAGCCATGCAAACACAACTGCTTCACGATGGGACAGAGGTACCCAAGCAATCGACTTTTGTACAAAGTCTAATTTTGCTTATAGACGTTTTCCAGGATGAAATGTGATTACTAGATAATTTCAATGATGCGGATGTTCAGAAAGCTAATAACGGATAAAAGCTATCTATAGTGCACTTAGTGCTAAATGTAGGAAATCGCAGCGTAATGCAGCTGCGGCAGTGCCTTATATTACTTAGGAAGTGTTTTATAGCCGCGTAACATGACATCAAAAGGACTTAGCTCAGATGTTGCAGAACAGAATAGATAAAAACTAATTTTACTTTTCCGTGCAGATATGTTTGCCCATCTGTGGCCAAAACCGAGACAGCAATATTGATTGCTTTTTTTATTGTAGTATAAGGTAGATTGAATTGCTATTTTCCGCTATTTCTAATTTTTTTTTTAATATTATAGAGTAGGAATTACGAATAAACTAAGAGTTGTTATTTTGCATCAAGTATAAATATTGAAATGACTATCAGTTACTAACAACACCATGGTTATCACATTATATATTCTACCGACCTAGGCCTCGCCACAAAATTAAAGTTCTTTTGTTTTAAAAAACGGCACTACGCTTTCTATCTAACAATATGCACTACATACAAATTTAGTAAGATAGCAGTAAATATTCAACAGAGTCCCTTAAAACTCTTTCAAATCTTACATATTTCTTCTTCCTGTTCCATTCCTTCATGTATATAGTTATCGCTTTCATATCCTTCCATTTCGAACTCTCTTCAGAATAGCACTAGTTTAGTTTCGTATAATTCATAGACATATACTACTAACATACTCATTTTCTTTTTTTTACATCAACAGTATTCGAGTATCTGTTTTCAATTGTATTACCAACTTTCCACCCTATTCCTTATTCCATAGTTTTTTATCTCATCCATTCAATGAATTTATTAGCAAGTACAGCAAATTATTTCTTTTGCTCCTTTTGTATTTCTATCATAGTCGTAAATTCAAAACGGCGTAATGTTAGAGCAGCAGTAAAAGTCTTACTAACTAGAAACTTGTCCTTACATTTAGCCTCGCAAATAGCACTGCAATAGGAAGCAGTAATGGCTCGTTGAGTTTGAGTGACGACTCTCGCGGTTGGCAAATTGGTTGCCTTTCCGTTATTGAACGAACGCGATTCGTTTGTATCGTATTTTAAAGTTGGTATGAATCATAATTTTGTAAACAAATAGGTCAATTGTAATGTTGATCTTTCAAGCCCAATTTTTTTGATTCGATTCGAATAAGATATTGCCAATTGTCATTGCAGTTGCAATAATCGACATTACTGTGATGTCAAAACACAAATACAATTTGTTTGGAGTTCTTATCAGTTATTTTAAACCTATATAATTACGATTTATATACAATTTTGCAATCTACAAACTTTTCTCAATAAAAGTTTGCTATGATAGTGTTTTAGAAAATTAAAATTAATATTCTTTGAATATTTAGATCGAACAAATAAAAATCAATTTAATCAGATTAACGAACTAGATAATATCGAGTCCCCACTAGACATATCGTCTAGATATTTTAAAATGCCGCTTGTATATTTAAACCATTTCCTTTAACATTTGTTTTATCTAATCTAGACTAGAATCGCGATTTCCTAACAATGTTAAGCTAAAATTAGTACAAAGCTAGTCTAGACATTAGCACGTTACGGTACGTTGACACTTAGTAAATCAGGAACATATTGTAAACCATTAACCACAAGTTCATGGACCCAATGACATTTAGGATGCTATTTCAGACGTACATTCGCCCTGGCAGGTTTCCTTCATCTGATATACGAATAGAAGCGGTTTACAGCGATGCCTTGAAATAAAATGGTCTATGGACATTTTTTTTATCTCTTGGAACATAAACGCTGCTCAAAATTTAATTTATTATATTAGTTACTACTAATATACATTGAAAACATGTTGAAATATTAATTATTGGATTTTTTTTTATTTGTAGACTTTTTGTAAATACTCATGTATACCTAATCAAAGTAATAGAAAATAGAACTTTATATTAGATAATTTGGTGTATGTTTGTATACATGAAGCCACCAATTGATCATATTAATGATAATTGATTACAGGTTTTTATCGATCATAAAACTGTCATTATGACACTTTCCTTGAATTGACTTATACAAAGGTTCCAATTGATTACATTAATAACCGACGAGGGTGTTTTATCGATCTTAAAACTGTCTAGTAAGTCTATGTACTTTGAAAATCAATATTCATAGACAACTTCCGTGGCGCAGTGGTGAGCACGTTAATTTGCGAGAAATGAGATTTTGGACATGATTCTCTGTTGGGCTAATTAAGGATACAAGCTTTTCTAGCTCGGAAGAGTTCGGATCTGAATATTCTGGATTGTAATCCCTAGATGTTCTTTGCTAGTTCCCCATAATACATGGATAATATTGAGGGCCAGGTGATTCGTGTAACTGTGTAGCACTTATTATTTATTGTTTTATATTTCACTAATACATAATAATGACATTTGGAAATCATCATCATATTAGCCTTTAACTGTCTACTGCTGAACATAAGCCTCCTTGGAGGTTTTCTCAGTAGTTGCCATGCTCGGCAGGCGAGTTGGCAACCGCAATTAGGCTTTAGAGATGTTTTAAGAGGGACGCTGCTGCTCATCCCTCGCCGTCACTTAGTCTCCTTTTACGACACCCACGAGAAAGGAAAAGGTGACCTATTCTATACCGGGACCACACGGCCTCTATTAATATTCGAAAATAATTCTCATTTATTAATAACTTAAGTAGTACTTATTCCTTTGAAACGTAAGATTTTACTTCATATACCTAATTTATCTCTCGTACTATTACTACCGAGTCCTTTTAATATCTAAACGAAAATAATAATGTGCAAATGATATTCGTAGCATAAATAAAATTAATCTTGTCTTCTTGATCTCTTCCGTCTTATTCGCGTATCACTTATTTATAACTAGATTTTATATCTTCAACCGCATAGACATAATCGATTTCCGTTTCTATTACTTCAAATTGCCGTGTTTCTTGTTAGATTATACTTACTTTCTTTAGAACTTCAATTGATACTGTATTTATTGAATGTTGAGTAATAAATAGTACGTAAGCCAATTTTTGTTCAATCTTACTTTGTACAATTATCTTTTACTCAATTGCGTCTTACAATGTCATATAATTTTGTTGGTATGTAATATGTAATAATGTTTGGCTTTCTCCTGATTATTTAGTTATATTTGTAGATATTATTATTAAAAGAGCATGAAGAAATGGTTGCTTTGTTGCTTTGCTGTTGCTTCCTTATTATTTAAAAACATTTTTGTAAGATCCAATTCATGTCAAAATAGATCAGACGGGTCGTTATATTTTATGCATTTAGCAAGTTATAAACGTGTCTAATTTTGGAATTTCAAACGACTTAATTATGGAACTGATGTAATCGTAAATAAAACTTCATTTGTATGGTTAGTTACGAAACTATTGGTTATTTATAGAGAGGGAATACAATTGGAAATCTTAAATATGATTATAAGTAGCCACTATCTGTCGATGAATAACGAAAAGAAAATAGCTTCATAAACAAAGAACGAATATCAATTAATTAAATAGGCATACGTGGGATAACAAGTGCAGAATTGGTTTTGTCATCGGTTTTTAAAGCAAAGATAAACTCACTAGATGTCTGTAATAGACTGATAATAGTTATTATTCATAGAGTGCTATGTATAAAAGGAATAACAGACATTATCAATAGTAATACATGAGTGAGTGTACCATTGCAATGCAGACTTTTGTATTTTGTGATGTTCCACTTACCAGCAGTGGACTATGGAATTGATAACCATTCCTGTTGTCCACAAATAAACGGCTGCCTAAGCCTGGTAACGTATTTATTTGAAGATATTTTTAGTTCAGTCTTGTAATGTTTCGAGAAAAATAGATGATTACGGATATAAATAAACTTATGTACATTGTTTCCATCCAAATAAAAGTAGGTAAGGCAATGATTAAGAACATATCACTATAAATTTGTAAATATCGCAAGTGATGGTCCAGCAAAAAATGCTTATGTTTTGTTTTTTTATAAACTTTATAGACCAATTGTAAGCTTTCCTAAACAACTAACAACCATAGTGTTCTCAGAATACTACGTTGTATCGTTAAAAATACCCGTGTTTATGTGCAATTGATGCGCCTGGCATCAACATATGTGGGTCAAGCGATGCACCCGAGGGTCACTATGTCAGTTTGTAGACTAATGTAATCGTAGTAACGTTGGTTCAAAGCCAAACGTCCAGAATACTTTTAGAATTGTAATTCGTACACAATCATGTATCTCTCGAACACTCGTTTAATGTGAGCGATCTATAAATAATGGTAGAAGATTTGCTATCGAATCACCAACGCCAATGAAATCCTGAAGATGTAGGGAAAGTGAACAATGTCGACTTTACGAGAGAAATATCCCAGTATTTAAGTTAGTTCGCTTGTAATCTATACAAAACTTATAAAAAAGTTAAGTCGCATAGGCAGCGTAGTATTAGTAAACTAATATCCTCTTACTTCTCTCTTTCTCTATCTCTTAGATATATTAGTCATTCTCGAGAGCCTTAAATAGTAAAAACAAAACATACTTAAAAATATAAAAGGACCAGAGTTGCCTATTCGAAGAGACCAGTCAGCGGCCAGGTCGGTAAAGTAATAAAGTAATTTTTCGAGTAACTCGGAATATCAAACAAGCTGGGTGGTTATGCTACCTGATAGAAAGTGGTAATTTAGAACGAAAAAGGATATAGCTTTTTATGCCAGTCAATCAATATATTCCTAATTAATAATGATATATTGCTTTGTTCCAGCTGTATCGGCACGATGGTCAGCGCTGCGAGCAGCCGCTACAAGGCGCGGCGGCGCCCGACGCCTACGCCGCGAGATGGCAGCCCTACACGAGAATCTCGACGACGTCTGCGAACCGGGTGAATGTGCTCCTCAGCCGCACACCAGGGCGCAACTAACGAGACGGATCGAGGAACTGAAGGTATGTATACGCACCGGCAAAAACTTGAGCACGTTTATAATACTACGCACCAAAGGGACTCTTAAAGAAAAACCTTCATAGAGAAAATTAAGAATTTCATTTGTGACTAAATAAATATGAGACTAACATGAGAGTAAAGCCTATCTTTGAAGTTACTGACGACCAGAATGCACAAAAGGCTAGCTTCATTGCCCCACTGGATAACAAAGGAAATCCGTTATCAATAAGAAGTTTCTACCAGATATAGGCCAGCGGCAATCAATTACTATCAAGTGAGCCGTATGCTCGTTTACCACCTGTTATGAAAAAAAAATACTAGTAATATCCACATTTTGAAATTATCAAATACTTTTTGCAATGTCTGCAGAGCAAAGTTCTAAATTATTTAATAGCAGCATTAAAAGGCAACTTTATCTACATTTAGATAGGTACAGAGATATTTTATCACATCAAATAGGTATTTGTATATTTATGTAAAAGGTTAACAACACATTTGGTGCGGTCAATACCTACTAACTCAGCCGTTGTATACTCTACTCAGCTATCATCGATTAATCAAATATTTGCCTTGTTTAGTTTATAGGATATAGAACTTGTTAACTGGAACTATTACCTACCTAGTCATTTGTTATGAAAGATAACAACACTTCTAGACCTCTCCTACTATATCATGTTGTTTTCTCATTGGGTTTGTGACCATACTCATATATAAGACATTGGTCACTTTATACAGAAAAGACATCGTTTGGAATAGTTTGTCGTGTGTTGTTTGTTGAACTCTTTTACATTTATAATCTAAATAAGAATATGTATTATTACAAATAAACTTATGTTTTACTTCACTTCGAATTAATCTTTCCTATTTCATTCAAACAAAAAATAAGATTCAAATTTGTTTCTTTTTTTGTGACTATGTTATGAGATTACGTTGCTAATTTTAAATACATATTCACTGGGGGGAAAGGGATTGTTAGTAATGGAGACTGAGAATCCTATTGTTAGCAATATACCTAACCAGGTCGACCTCCTCGCAGTTCTCTCTGGAAACGATCTCTGGTTAATTCCTGATGAATTCATCATGATGGGCTAACTGGCCTGTTTTCATTCTCATCTATCACCCTTCACTGGTGCTCCGCCAGCGTATCCCGTTAACGCAGGCGGGGTTACCATACCATTTACATCCTTAAAAAAATACATATTTACAGTTAATTATTTACACAATCGATTGTCACAATCAATTGTTTTTTTCGAATACAGTAACCTCGGTAAATTACGTTTGAGTGACCTGTAACCCGTACCTTGCTGTAACTCACGGAGTATAATGGCCCCGAAATTAAAACAATAGTAATGTTTGTAGGTAGCTGACCTATTGCTACGTCAGTGACTTTATTTGTAGAATACATATGGTTTTTAATGGAAGAAAATGGAATTGTAACTCCGCCTGCGCTAGATTTATGTTAGCGGGATATCAATAAAGGATGATAGACGAGAATGAAAACATGTTGAATGAATGAATGAACGATACTTTCCAAAGAGAACCGCGTGAAAGTCGTCTTGATATTGATATTGCTAACAATGGATTTCCTAGCCTCATGACTAACACTCTCTTCTTCTCCCTGGTTAACGCTGTCTGGTACCAGTAAGGGATGATAATTGAAGACGAAATCAGGGTAGCTAACAAAGAATATTCTTTGTTCCTTTGATTAACAAGGGGTTAACTCTATGTTATTAACAGTCTAATCACCCCATATCCTTGAGCCTCAGTTCATCCATCGATCGATTACCTATCCGTCGCGAATTTTTAACACTAGCTATAGTAGTGCTTGCGTCTTCGTATACATTACCGAGATAAAATTCTTTTCTTTTCCTTTCTATGTATTGTTCAAAAATATAGATTTGAAATTCTAGCTGAATTTAATATTCATTAATTAAATTATTCTAGTAGACAGGTTTGAAATATTGATAAAAAAATGTACGTCCTATTTTAAAAATATTGTAGAAAAAAACAAATAAACATCATTTGCGAATAACCTTGAATGTTAATGCGCAATTACGAAGTTCAGGTATATCCTTGATTATAAAAAACTTACTGAACTTATATAAAACTGGACTGAACATTATATGTACCTTATTTTTTATTCAACTTAGAATGGCAAACAAGCTGACGGCCCACCTGATGGAAAGTGGTAACCGTCGCCTATAGACATAAGCAGTACCATGGACATAACAGAGTATACTGTTTACACCCATGATACCCCCCATGCTTTGCCATTCCTGAGGAATCAGGTGTTATTCCTCCGTACCCAGTAAATTCACGCCATATCCCACCCTTCAAACCGAAACACAGCAATGCAAACACAACTGCTTTACCGTTGAAACACGAATGGGACAGAGGTACCCAAGAAATCGACTTTTGTACAAAGTCTCCCTCTGGTATCTATCAGACTACAGTCTGTATCGTTTCACAATTACTTTATTTATTATTCCTTTACTCATACATATTTAACAGTGCTTCTTTTAGTATGTAGACTTTCTGTATATTGAAATAATGTAGGTGGTTACTGTATTATTATATAATCATATGGTAAGCAAGCTGAAATGGCAATGGGCTAGTCACATAGCTCGAAGAAACGACAACCGATGGGAAAGGAAACTTCTTGAATGGCAAACCCGTACGTAGTATAGGACGAACCCTCCACTATATGGAATGGCGACCTCAAATAAATTGCAGCGAGTCAATGGAAGCAGGTAGCTCAGAACCGTTCCTTACAGCAGTCTATGGCTTATGTTCATCAGTGGACATATAATAACTAATATGATGATGATGATAATAATATGGTACTTATTTTATACGACTAGGAAATCTTTTGGACACTCGTATTAGAAATCGCCTGGATGACTGTGAAATCATATAAACCCTGTTCAAAAGTAAATTGGTCAATGTACAACCGTAGGTGGAATAAATATAAATAAATATTTATTTTCCCCCCACAGGAACGTTTGTCGCGCCTTCTAGAATGCAAAGTGTCCATGTTGAAGCTGACGGTATCTGTGCGCCGAGCTCTCGGCGAGATGGAGTCAGATGACAGCGGGCTGGCTACGGAATTGTCTGCGCTTTTGGCCCGATGGGAGGATGCGCATCAGCGGTGAGCAATCTCCATCATCATTCCAATTAGCCAGTTTATGGTCGCGAAACTTAACAAACCTATCGAGTTTTTAAAATTGAATTATGCTCGCTGCTCATTTACAGTGTTTAGTTTCTTTTTTATTTGCATTTATCATTTATTTCGTTCACTTTTGTATAAATTTTCTATCTTGAGAATATAAAAATATATGAAGTTTTTTAAAATTAAAAGTTTAATTAAAAATAGAAGTATAAAAAATTTATAAAAATATATTAGGCTTTATTAAGGCTAAAAAGCGGAGAGGGGGCTTAGTGACCTGTAACACAGGTGGTTTATTCCTATTTAGCGTGGGCACCAGTTCTCTCCATAGTATTATAAGCATAGAAGGTTATGTAACTAAAGTATTGTAACTAATTGAAGAGAAATAAATCATTTATTTATTTTTAAGAACGATGGAAGAATAACACAGGTTACGCTATTGATTTAAGTTGACTAAGCACTAGTCATACTTAGAAGTTATAAACTATTTTTTAACACTCTACAGCACTTCAAATGAGCTGCTCTCACTTGAGAAGGCAGTTTGCGTCTGGGCTGAATGGGAGAACGCATTCCGTGAGCTGCAGGGTGCTTTGAGGGGCGACCTCGCCACATTGGAAGCGTTGCGCGACCGTGGCGCCGCCGTAGGCGACCAGACTGAAGTAGCCGCTCAGATTCGGCAGCTCGCTGCGTCGCTTGTAGAGAAAAAGAAAGTCAGTGAATGGGAATTAATTATATTTTTAAGCTCTATTTGTTTTTAAATGAAATGTACTAATTAATTATTATTTGACTTAGATTTTTTAAGAATTGGAATCGTTTGACCGTGACGATATCTCATGTTTTGTTACTACGTGTGTTTATGAAATAAAAATATAATATATTGTTATTACCATACCTCTTTATTCCTAGGATATCGTAAGAAGACTTTGGAAAGCAACTATAATACACCATTACACGAAAATGAATAATTAAAACACTTTAGTACTAATTCGCATGGCCAAACGATGTTAAATATCTTATTATGGGGAGAGACTCCATAGTCAGTGGATATTCAGAAGTGATATGAATTATTATGGAATGTTTTCCTCATACGGTGATTGAATAAGCAACCACTTACTCTATTACCAAGTGTAAGGAAAATAAATCCATAAGGCCAGCATTTTTAATATTCTTTGGCGAAAGAAAACCGTATCCATGATTCGATTTAGAGGGCACCAGTTGGCTAATTTGAGTTCATTATAACCTAAAAATCTCATTCGTAAATGCCACGAACATGGTTTAGCGGCAAAATGGTTAATCCAGCACTTGTGATAATAACGTATGTATATTGTAATATAATATAAAACGTTATACATATATAGGGAGGGTCCACATGCGACTCGTTGTCGGACTCCGGCATCTCCGACGGCGACAGCGAAGGCGCGGGCGGTCGCGCTCGTCGGCTCAACGCGCTGCGGGAGCTCGCCCGCCGTCTGCAAGCGGCCTTAGCTCCTAACTCGCCAGCGCACAAAGCTATTGCTAAGGTGAAATATTTATTTATTCTTTATTGTACAGAATAGGTTATTGAAATGGAAAAGTAAACATAATAGTGCACAAAGGCGAGCTTATCTCCAAAAGAGATTATTTATATTATATATATATTATATTATATATATATATATATATATATATATATATATATATATATATATATATATATATGCTTATGTAACATCGGTACCATCATCTATATACTAGATTCCTCTAGATACTGATAGCGAAAAAAAGGTCATCACCCATTACGATATCTCCAACACCAGTCAGATATCTATATTTATTTCGATTGGGTTTGTTGAGAAAGCAATCCACACATTTCTTAATATGGCAACTTTATTAGTCTATGTGTGATGCTCTCTGGTTGTTGTCTGGTAATTGTTAGAAAAGAAATATGTCGCCTCTAATGAATTGTATAACTTAAATGTACTAATAAATTTATAAATATGAATAATGTGTCTAAATATTACATTAAATACTCTGCTAAATTACTTCAAAATAAAAGGGTTTTTTATTTCGATGTTCTATATTCGTTATTAGGCCAAAATATAGATGTTGTAGTTGCAATATATAGATATTACTATATATTGTCCACCGCTAATGTGTATTTTGTTTTATACAACTTAGAATGGCAAACAAGCTGACGGCCCACCTGATGGAAAGTGGTAACCGTCGCCTATAGACATGAGCAGTACCATGGACATAACAGTATACTGTTTCGCCCATAATACCTCCCATGCGTTGCCATTCCTGTATAAATTTAATATATTTGTGTGTTATAGTTTAATATATTAGTGTGTATATTTAATAATTAATGAATGGTTTGCTTTGATGGTAATAATTGAAGGTTATGATTCTTAAAAATATCTATGTAATAAATTTAAATAAATTTTATAAATATAGTTACGTGTATCATATTTCTTGATCTACTTTAATGAAATAATACTTTTACAGGGAATAAGAATTAATTTTAAGTGTATATGGACTTTTATTTGATAAGCTAGAAGCCCATGGAAAAATAAAGGCTCTATGGTAACTAGGTTACGTCATATTGTTATGATTTATTGATCAAATCAATTTTTTTCTGTTACAGCGTATGGAACAAACTGAAAATGAGGTCCGTATATTGCAAGAGTCATGTCGCGCGTTAGTAGAACAAAGCATTCCTGATCTGAAAATCGATGAAGAAACGTAAGTTGTATTAATAAATCCAATTTGGTGTTTCTTTCTTGTATTTTTCTAATCCTCTTAAAAAAGGAAGGCGTCTTCTAGTCAATGTTTGTATGTAAATGTGTATGTGATATCAGAAATAATAATAAATAGATTTAAATGTTTCTTTAATTCTTTTAATATAAAAAAGGGAATTTAATATCAACTATTATTGTTTGTTAATTTTAATCTTACATTTAGTTACGTATTTATTTCCAAATACAATTATTAAAAATGGCTGTTAGAGAATACGTATTGAATATAATGTATCACCACTTCTTTTCATCACCAGAAAATTCTAAGAGGATACTAAGGAAACAATATAGTAAAGCAAGAGAAAGATAACTTAAAATAAAACTACACCAAGCTCTAACAGCTGAGGGAGACCCGAATCCAAAAGTGGGGCGATAATAAGCTGCTATAGTCATGGATGTATCATATTTAACTTTTTTTATTTCAACAGCAGGGAGCACAATGTAAGTACTGTGGCTGGGGGCAAAACAGGTGCTGGCGATCCGGACTACAGTCCTCGAGGAGGGTGGGTGTGGCGTGTTCTTCGCTCCTCTCTGCCCATTCAACTGTGTCTTGTAGCTTTATTACTAGCCGCTTGGCTGGTGGAGCGGCCGAGGTGTTGCGATGCCTTGAACTCTCTTGCTCAAACCCTCACTCCGCAACTCCGTTATGTACGGGGACCGCCACCAGTCTGAACACGTCATTACATCGATCGTGTATTTCGTGGAAATTGGCTATTTGATTAGCTATAATACATTGTTCTTTTGAAGATTGCTTTCAAAGATGTTTTCTAGATCTGGAAAAGGATTACTAGCAAATTGCAGTGGCGAATTGAGTGCAATATGGCCATTGTGTTATTACTACTTATGATTGATAATTGTTTGACTTGGCAAATGGGCATATTTAAGCTCACGATCCTACATATTGTAGTTTATTCGATTTTGAGTTTACGTGGTGTGTACGTCACTATACGTGGATGATGCAGTTTTGCTTAGGCATTATATTATTATATTTTACTAACTCTCGAATTGACATAAAAATGAGACGTGAATGTAACTCGTATAAATAATGATGACGAGGTTAAAATTTTTTACTAACGTACTATAAAATAAGTAGAAAAAAAAAATTAAAGAAATTATTAACAATGGAGAAGAAGCGAATGGAGTTAATTTTGAGAATGTCGCTTCAGTAGACGGATGTGATGTTTAAACGAGAAAATCTTACCATAAACAATAACAACATAATCGAATTTGATTTAGTATCAGACTTTTATTATTAGATACCCCTTATTGCTCATAGCAAATAAAGTTCAAATAAACAAAAGTGTTCTAAAAAATAATCATCTGTATCAGATGAAGTGCAAAATAGTTAGTACGCATTACTTAGTATTAATTAATGTACTAACATTGACAAACAATAAGTTTGTGCATAGAATAGAAGCATGCCTATTTTAGTACAAGTATTTAATAGGTAAAGGAGGATGAGAGTGCGCTGAGTATGAGAGATGTCCTTGTAATACCTTGTGTATGTTTTACTTCAACTACACCTACTAAATAGGTTTTATTTCATAAGTTACAACATTTTAAATTGTGTATCTACAAACATATCATGTGTATTCATAAATGATACATTTTTCATCGAACATAGACTATAGAACCATGTGGAGTCTCTATGGTTGATATCAAATATATCAATTCCAAATAGTTCCAAATACTGTTGTGGCCTTATGATAATCATCAAAGACTGATAAATTAGTAAATGTGTTTCAATATAAACTAACAGCTCCTAAAACTTAGTGTAACTTTGATGTCAAATCTATACTGAAGTCGCCAAATAAATAATACAATTTTAATTCCAAATATTTTTTTTATCACCGTACTCGTTATATTTTTATTGAATACATTGTATTGTATATACAAATCGAATCCAAATATAATTGAAAATAAATATTATATTGTTATATTAGTGTTTATTATCTGTTGATATTATATATTTTTATGTTAATATTTTATATTATTATTTTAAATTGTATTTGTCAAGCCTACAAAATTCTAAATATTTATATACCCGTAGGAAATTGAATTTATTTTCCCGGTATTATTCGAGTCTGCTCCAACTATGTATGTTTAAAATATTTGTTTGTGATCAGTATGAATCAATAAATGTATGTAATTAAGTTTTACCATGTTAACTCAATGTCACCTGAGAAAAATGTGTTCAGATAATCCAATTAACATAATTGTTTTTTAATATCAATTCAGTTTTAATACCAATTGCTCAAATAATCACCATCTAATCTAATAATAGATAAAGTATTATTTTTAAAAAGATTACAATGATTTGCAGTGTCCACGTTCAAATGACATTTACTGCAATGAGCAAGAAAAGTGTTCGTTTACTTTGTTATTTTTTGCCAAAATAATGTAAAAAGTCAGTAACATACGTGTAATAAGTTTTATCTCCAATAAAGTGTTATTTACATATTTCATTCACTATCTAAAGTGTAAAAAATTCAAATCCAAAGTGCGTTCATGAATTATAAAAACTATAATCATAATAACCCACGGAAATATGTTAAATGAGTACATTTCAAGAATTCTCACCGACAATTGTACCTGTTGTATAAATGAAAAATATACTACAAATTTCCTTATATTATTTTATAATTTCCATAAAAAAAATATTCTCGTTTCGCATTCAGTTTGTTACGATTTGTTAAACATTTCGTCATAGTCGTAAAATACTGACGGATCTTTATATGTAATATTCGTCAGGTCCGTCAGTATTCCACGACTATGACGATTTCCAGGTTTTATAGAATACAATTTTATCAAGAGTAAAAAAATGCCTAAAGTAATAAAATTGTCATTACAATCTGTCTTTCTGATTTGTTTTCGCAGTGACAATCATGGTTTGTTTAATAAAATAATTTTTTTAATAGTAATTTGTATTCCCAAATAGAAAAAAATTGTCTAATTGTGAACGCATCTTTGTTCTTCCTTATTCAAATAATTACAGCATTCAGTAAATGTGTGAATGTACTGTAAGTAACTTATACTGCCTTAACGTATGTTTGTAGTGTGTGGCGCATTCTATTTATGAATGTAATAATTTAGTAAATGAGCTTTCGCTGTGGTTCGTTATAGTCCATCAACTTCATTCGCAGCGCCTCAAGTGAATGTGGGGGACTTGTGGGCGGCGAGGTAAAATATCTTTTAGGGCATAATGTAGCGGGAATAGGAAGAGAGCGCATTCGCCATTCACCTGCCTTGCCTTGAAATAATGTATCCCCCCCCCCCCCCTCCTCCTTCCCTCATACTGCTATTTGAAAGAGTGCCGTGTACAAAGTTGATGGACTATTGATTTTATTATTTTCTTTTAAAACGATTTCGATTCAAAATAATATTTAATAATAATTGTTTTATAAATTGTTTTTATCTTGATCACAGTGAAAGTATCTAGTACATTCTATAACTTGATGTAAGGCAGTTGATGCCTATATAGTGTGTCATATTTCTTTTAATTTTTATACATAGTTTTTAACTAGATAATTGAAAGAAAATAGACATGCTATGAATGTGCATTTAATTTTTTTTTTCTCTGCGAAGATCGTAAGCATAATGTAATTGATTGCATAGTGGCATGTTGGCTTTTTGGAATGGAAATAAAATTTGAATTTACAAATTGACTTTTTACTTATACTTTTTACCCGTCATTTAATTGTGTATATAGTTTTTTTTTTTATTTTACAAGGCTATGAAGGGTGGTCAAAATTATTTAAGTCATCTCAACCAATACTTTCATCGCAGTACCCTCAAATTGTAATGTTCCAGTCAGGTTTAGGTATTCGATTATTTTGGTAGTCATTAAAAAGAATCGTAAAATAATGATCAAGTATTTTTTTAAATATTCAAAATGAAATGGTAACCCCGCCTACGTTATCGATATACGCTGGCAAGCCCCAAGTGATAGACAATAGGTGAGAATGAAGGTAGGTCAGCCGGTCCATCGTGAAGAATTCGACAAGAATTAACCATGATGATTTCAAGGGGGAATCACGTGGAAGTCGACCTGATAGGATACATTGATAGCAATGAGGACTAACTTCTGCCTGCGCTAACAGTATATACTGGCGGGGTGCTAATAAGGGATGATAGATGAAGATAAAAAAAAAAACAGGTCAATTAACCCGTCGTTATGAACACACCAGAAATTCAGCATAATGGTTTCCAGGAGGTATCGTGGGAAGGTTGACCTGAGCCTATATTAATGAAAATGCCCTATATTGCTAGCAATGGGGCTGGTAGTCTCCATTACTAACAATCCTTCCTAAAGTATTTATGTACCGTAAGTACTTGAATCCTATATTTAAGTATCCGAATTTTGTATTTTAAACATTTAAGTCCCCAAATAAATATTAAATATTCGGGCCAGTTCGAGTCGACACATTGCTGCCTGTAAACTGAAATGTACATATATACCATGTATGAATCTGTCTGCAAACAATATTGAAGTAATTGTATAAAGTCAACAAGTGAGTTAACAGTAGACTATTTAGAGAATAGAGTAAAATTCTGAAATTTTAACTATGTAATTTAGGGGGGAAAGGGGTTGTTAGCAATGGAGTTTGACAGCCCCATTGTTAGCAATATACCCTATTAGGTTGACCTCCACGTGGTTTCCCTTGAAAACCATCGTGAAACATTTTTGTTGAATTCGTCATGATGGGTTAACTGACCTGTCCTTTCATTCTCAGCTATCATCCTTTCACTGGTGCCCCGCCAGCGTATACCGATAGCGCGAGCGAGGTTATCATTCCATTACTACCCATTAAAAAAAACTATGTAATTTACATGCTTACATTATATAGATACACTGTCTCTATACGAATGTTTCGCCAAAAGCAGGAAATTTTTTAATCTTTTCACTAGCAACATTGAAAAAAGAACGTGTTACATTCTCTTTGTTCTTAGCGTAACATTTGGTTTTTAAAAAAAACAGGCAAATTTCTAATTACGCTATCTATAGTAAAAAGTTTGCGCCTATTCATATTTAGTTTTAGATTTTTTTAAATATATTATAGTCATTACAATCCATTTTTTTAGTAATAGTTTAATAAGAATGTTGATTTGGTTTGGTTGAATTTTGGTGCGCTAGAAAAATAAAGCATTTTTTAAACAAGGCCTTATTCAATCAAATATGAAAAATAATAGCTGGACTCTACGCGATTAAAAATATATATATTACAAGTTAGCCAATATACAATAAATAAATCCATTTCCTTTTCCTCTTTTGGAGTGTTGCCAAGTTGCTCTTTCCGGAGATATTTATATATTTAAGGGAGATAAACATAACAAATACAAACATAAAATGATAGAACAGTAGTACAATAACTATCCAGAACAATAAAAACCTATAATTATAATAGAATTTGTTCTTTGTAGTCTGACGATGTAAATGTTCTTTATAAATATTACGCCTTCAACGCAAAATACCTCTACAGATTATACAAAATAAAATCCATTACTATTTGTGTTAAATAGTATTTCATCTTGCTCTTTTCGTCCTTATATTAGCTTTTACAACTAGCTTTAATAAATAAAAAGAAAATTGTTATTATTTAAAAATTTATAATTTCTTGCTCTCTTGTTAATTTCGTAAAATTAAAAATATGAGCAGAAGGTGTTTTTTTATTAATAAATAATATAATTGATATTTACTTACAAATTATCAATATTAAAAATTTTCCGTTTGTTTTTATGTTGTTCACCGAGTTGGCAACATTGTTTGTATGTTGGCTACTTTTGATTGCTGTGCTGGTGCCGCCGCCGTAGTATTTCACCTTTCCGGTTTGTGGAACTTCCATGTGCACGTGTACAAGAAACAATTTTTGTTTTTTCCCAATCATTGTTTAATTATTATTCTAAAAGTGGATTGACATACTCCATAGTGTATTCAGTGGATTAAAACTACTCGTGTGGCTGTGGATTTCGTAAGTATTTATAATTATATATACATAATTAACCCGGTTTGAGCGTGCTCTCCTGACGCCATATTGTGATGCCATGAGTTTCAATTATTGGCTTTGTATTTTTTTTATAATTTCCAGGATTTGCTCGTCCACTGCTACAGTAAAAATAAATTAATATTAATGAAATTAAAGTAAAACGCGGATTGTTCCCTATTTTCATATGAATCTAATACCATCTTGATTTTCTTATTTATCGTAGACTTGTGTACCAGTGAACGATTGTGTGGTATCAGGTAATAGATTACGTAAATTGCTATTATTATTTTGTTAATGTAGTTTTCACTTTCCTTGTGATATAAATTCAGAAAATGTCACTGCTTTAATAAATTATGTTTGTGCGGGAAAAAAAGCCACGGTGTGCTTTGGTTATGCCCGAAGCCAATTTCCCCGTATGGTTCTAATTGATCAAGCGATGCTTTGAATAGAAATTGGATAAGCATCTAATCTAATCGATACAAAATAAGTTGTAACGACATAATTAGAAGTAAATATGTACGTTGACATGACGATTTGATAGCCTAGACACCTAGGTGATAATGCTTCATGCGTTATAAAAGAATAGTGTACTAGGTGTTATCTTGCAGAAATCTATAATAAGAGTAGTGTTCAATCTTCAAGTTTTGACAGTCGCACATATACTAATGGTAGCAGAATTAAACAAAATAATCTTATAAACTAGTATAAAAATATTTATATTTCAGCATCCAGTCTCTGTGTTTGTTATTTAGCACTGTGACCACTATTAAAAAAAACAAACCTTGTTAGTAATTTGATTGTCTTGATTTTCAAGTTTAGCACACATTTCTCCAATGATGGAGACTAGATTGACGGTATTGGCCTCTTTAATGTCTGATTTTTAATTCTTTTCTTTAGAAAATGGTGGGATCTCGCGTCTATGTAGGAGGACTGCCATTTGGTGTCAGAGATAGAGACTTGGAAAAATTCTTCAAAGGTTTCGGAAGGATCAGAGATATTCTCATCAAGAATGGCTATGGTTTTGTGGTGAGTGTTTCTTTTATATTTTCAATATTATTTAATATATATGTAAACCTATGACTAATGAATTTATATCTTCATTATTATCATCAGCCATGAACTGTTTGCTGCTGAGTAAAGGCCTACACCATAGATTGCAATAAGAAACAGTCCTGAGCCATATGCATCCATTGACTTCCTTAAAATGCATTTGAAGTTGTCACTTCGTCTAATGGGGGTTTGTCCTACGCTACATTTACCTGAACAGTGTCAATACTCTCTTGAGTATTCACCTTTCTCTCCGATTGGTTGTCTGTTTTATGACTTATGCAACCAGCTCATTGCCACTTCATCTTAATTATCCTTTGGGCCATGATAGTCACTTTGGTTTTTCTTTGAATTTATATCTCGTTTATATAAAAATATAGACTAAGTTGTGGGCTATAGGCAGTTATATTTTTATTAAAACATAATATTTAATTTATAAATATTTGTTATTGTCAGTACTAGATTTAATGCAGATATTTTTTATTTATTGTCAGTTTACTAGAAGATAATATTATATAATAGGTATTCTTATATAATAGGCATAATATGTAAACAATATGAATATTGTTTACATGTATGCAATATGCAAAATAAATAAGAATTATATATTCAGGTCACGGTTTATTTTCGTCAGTGCCATACTTCAACAATTTTAAATGTACTCTATTGTTTTAAATGAATTTTATTTTTTAATTTAAAAATTTATAAAATATTTATGGTATACTAGCTTTTGCCCGCGACTTTGAGTGACTGAGATATGTTCACTTAGCAAGATAAAATGTAGTTTATATCCTTCATCCCATATAGTATGTATATACCAAATTTTTAAGTGACTCAAGTCATTAAGGTATTAAAAGACAAACTCCCTTTCACATTATTAATATTAGTAAGGATTTTTTTTTTCTTTGATGGATGAAAATGGTATGGTTACCCCACCTGCGGTAACCGGATACGCTGGCGGAGCACCAGTGAAGGGTGATAGGTGAGAATGAAAACAGGCCAGTTAGCCCATCATGATGAATTCATCAGAAATTAACCATGATAGTTTCCAGGGGGAACCGCGAGGAGGTCGACCTGGTTGGGTATATTGCTAGCAATAGGATTCTCAGTCTCCATTACTAACAATCCCTTTCCCCCATTAGTAAGGATTTGAAGGTATCATAAATACAATTCTGAAGTAGAAATAAAACATTTGTATAAAATTATTGTATGTTATATTGTTTGATGTCTGCTTAAATAAAGTATGTTTTTTTTTTATTTTAACACCACAATTATATATATATATATTTATTGCAGGAATTTGAAGATTACAGAGATGCTGATGATGCTGTGTATGAATTAAATGGCAAGGAACTACTCGGGGAAAGGTAAGATTCTACTTGAATTATAGTTGTCTATTTTCTTAAGATCATTACCATTTATTGTAACTGAAATAATTTTTCCAATAATTAATACTATCAATTATAATAATAATGATTCTTAATTAGAAATTTATCAACTTATTTCTCAATTTACTGATTAATTTTCTTTATCAGCCGGCTCCACATTTGTGTGAGAGTAGTATGAAGGACTGATATATGAAATTCTATCGTGAAAGTAATATTTTGTGTGTGTGTGTGAGACTGTTGAATGAGTGAATGAGTATATAATCTTTATACACATATTTTAAGACATTTCCGTTTAGCTTTGCCATATCATATGAAATTTCATTATAAACAAAGTATGGAAGTTTGTGTATGATATATTGGATTTGAATGTTGCTCCATTATTTTTAGAATAAATTCATTTTATGGATTATCACTTTATCAATTGGTAGCAAAAGTAATGTGAGAATTAGGTGGAATTCCAAAATATTGAAATTAAACAATTTTACTACAAAACTATAAGTAGATTTTTAACACAAATTGGAAATCATGATTATTGATCTATGATTACTTACTTGCCTAATTAGTAATAAATAACACTTACTATTGCAATGCGCTTCTAACGTTTTAACTACAAACTAATCTACAAATAATTGCTAGCTATTAATAAGCACTTATTATACTCATTTAGATTGTGACTTAATTGCAGGGCCTACAATTGGTGACTATTTAAAAACCTTGTTGAACAATTTGTATTATAATAAATTTTAAATGAGTAGAAACTTTTGAAATTATTTTTAATGAATATTTATCCATTATCAAATTGTAATAATACACTCAAATCACAAAGACAAAACCTCTTTCTGGCAGTGTTCTCAATTCAACTGTTTAATCTTACTAATATAATAAAATTGTAACTGATGAAGTCTACATGGGAGATATTTAAGAAAATGTATAATGAATCTTTAATAAGACCAATAGAAGCTAAAACAATAATTTATAGTTTTGGCTGTCTGTACGTTTGTTCCAGCGTACGCAAAAACTACTGCACCAAATTAAATATGATTTTAAGTTAGATGTTCAGGTACACTCATGTTCTAGAAATTGTGGTATTAAAATTTATTTTGATACACTATCTAGAAATGGTATGTTTCTTTGGTTTTCCTACTTCTGAAATCCACGCGTACGAAGTAGCGGGCAAAAAGCTATTATTTATATATTTAAAAAAAGTTTAATTGAAAGAAAGTAGAAGAGCAGGGCCGGCTTTAACTTACCTTACGCCCTGGGCAAATTTTTGCCGCCTCTCTCTTATTGGCTTATATCCATGGTAGCTCTATACTAAATACTCTAGAGGAGTGGTGTCACAAATATTTGCTACCAATTGGCAAAGCGCCGTCAGTCGCATAATGGAGTGTGTGTCGGTGAGGGCGCGCGAGGGTGGCAGTGCTAACAGTACGACGGGTGTGCCGCAGGGTGGTGGTGGAGCCGGCGAGAGGCATCGACCGCAGCGCCGACCGTTACCGCCGCGACCGCTACTACGAACGCGACCGCGGCAGGTCGCGATACGAGTGAGTGTCGCTATGTTGTAGGGTGTCGGTGGAGCGCGCTCGCGGTATGCCGCGGGGCTCGGACCGCTGGCGGTGCCGCGAACTGCCGCCGCCGCCGCCCAGACGCCTGCCGCCGAGACGAGATCCGTCTGTATCTTAGCTCATGCAGTGTCCGATCTAGATATTTTGCCGCTCCGGGCAAAATGGTCGTTGAGCGTAGGTGGACAACTATATTTACAAGCAACCATTTAGTTTCATACCTCTTCTTCTTAGTTGAAATTGTAATCGAAATTATGTGGTAAAATTATAAAAAAAAATTGATCATTTGAATAAAAAAATATTTTATTTTAAATGTATATAGATAATCCCAATTCAGTATCTTTTTTTTTATTAATTTCTGTCATAATTGTTAAAATAATTTTGTTTTATTAATTTCATAAATATATCATTATTAAAATTAACTTTTAGTTACAATTATGACAAATGAAAAATAAGTATTTTGAAACTGTAAGAATTGAACTATTTCGTTTTCCATCTACGCCGACGAAGTAGTTGCCATTCTTGGCAATGGCCATCTAAACCTGCAGTGAATTCTTTTTGCCCTCCATGAAATTATCCATTTGGCCTTCCCTAGATCGGACCCTGAGCTCATGTCATGTGCAAACACTTATTGAATATAACGCGACGACACTATGGAATCACGTTTTGATATGCATTCTGAACTCGTGTATTTCTTTTGTCATAACGACGCTTATTCTTAGTTCCTACTGATATGTTTGGAATTGCTACTTTTAAATTTTGAGAAACATTGATAATGCAATAAGATTTATAAAATCCTTATCCTTACTAATATTATAGACGTGGAAGTGAGTGTGTAACAAGTAAACCTCTTTGCGCCCTAACGGCTTAATCAGTCACTATGAAATTTGATAATCGTGTACTGTATAGCATGTAAAAGTACATACGTTTTTTTTTATTCCGATTACGCGACCAAAGTTGCCGGTAAAAACTAGTATTAGTCTAGTTTGTTATAGATGCAAAAATTTACTATCATATTGATAATGCGAAATATTCTGTAATTGTTTAATTTGATATTACACTCTGATATCATGATTAATTTATCTAACTTGTAACTAGAAGATTAGGATTACTATCCAGTTTGCTTTTATTCTGTCAATACCAATAAACCGTAAGAACTAGGAATAACGTTAAATAAATGCATAATTGTTAAATGAACAGTTTTTGCACATAATTGTGACTCCATAGTGTGTATTGCACATTTTTATTGTTCCCATATACCTTTTATCCATACTGTTTGTTGTGTAACACTGTTCTATGCTTAATTTATTCTACAGCACCATTATTTTCATAAACTTTCCAACCTCAGTATTACCACTGTTAAAGGCTATTTGTTGTTTTTTTTTTGCATTTATTTTTTATTTTATATTTCAGCTATCTGTAAGTAAACTTGGTAGTGATGTTTGAAAGTTCGTACCAGTAGATAATTTCTTCATGCACTAGTGTTGCTGTTTACCTCACAATTTTGTGTTGATCCAAGTTAATTGGTTGATTATGTATTTTTTGCTCGACTAATAAACCCCAATAGTAATAAATTTAAACATACTTATAGATATGAAATGGTTTAGAAAACCCGATAAGTGTATCTTCGATGACATGTCAGTTTTGTATATGATAACAAAAATATATACAGGAAATGTTTAATATAAGTATAATGAAATTGTTTATAACAGTGGTATCTATTTTTTTTTTTTTATACAACTTAGAATGGTAAACAAGCTGACGGCCCACCTGATGGAATATGGTAACCGTCGCCTATAGACATGAGCAGTACTATGGACATACCAGAATATACTGTTTCGCCCATTATATTTTTAAGTTACTAAGTCTTTATATCATTAGAATTGTTTCTTCCTATATTTAGAAATTGAATTGATACAACATTACTATTAATGTTGTACGACTATTCACAAAGATGAAACTTACATATAGTTTTGTATTTACAGTGACTACAATTATAGATACGGGCCGCCCACGCGCACCGAGTATCGACTTATCGTCGAAAATCTGTCTAGCCGCATTAGCTGGCAGGTAAGAAACTGACTGGAACAACATTGGGTACATCATCATCCCATCAACAATCACCCAGGGTACCGGACACGAACATCGCGCTTACATTCGGGCTGGGCGGAGCATCACCTTCCACCAGGGTACGGTCGGTTCAGGGAGTCTGATGTCAGGACGCTTTGCGGTCGAACGGACGAACGTTTGTGCAATTCATGGGTCGAAAAAGATGGTAGAAGAATAATACAAATGGAGACATGAGAATGGAACGATGACATTCGGAGAACTGGTCAGAACTTGCGAGAATTCCTTCCTGATTTGGATGAACCAACGAGAGCACCATTATGAGAGTTGGAAATATCGAGCTGGCACTACTCACGCTACATACGAAGACGGGACTATGCGTCAAGGACCACGGACCCGAGAAGGCCCCAGGCGACTCACTCGTTCACTTACTAATAAACACCACAGCAGTCATTTTCCAAATGTTAGTCATCTCTTTCTTTGTAATTTAGCATAACACTACTCCCTTGAATTGTTAAACAGCATACATTAAAATGTTGCATTAAAATAAATGATACTCTCTAAATACTTTTAAAAGTGTAATCCAAACACGAGCTTATAGAAATAATTTTTAAAAACAACAGAAGGTGGCGTTTCGTGCCCTGAGCCCTCGATGTAGCGCAGTGTGAGATGTGGTCTGAGGCGATGTTAGGAGGTATGGGTCCCGCCGCAGCCTGCAGCCGCAGCTGGTGCCGCCGCCGCCTGCCCCCCTCGCCCCCCTCGCCAGGTAAACCGCACCAGGGGGGCACACACAACAGGACGTTCTCGTTATGTGCAATCTCCCGTTTTTATTCATTTTCTCATCGTTATATTTTAAGTTAACATTGTTCATAATAACGGCGTCCGCTCAGCGAACTCGCCGGCTATTGTGAATATCCATCCAGATTATTTCCGTCAATTATGTTCTTACTAGCTCGAACAGCTTTTCGAATTTGGTGATTCCTTTATGGTATCATTGTTTACATTGTTTGATGAGGATTGCTTGTTAACGATTGCGGAATGATGTTGTGTCTTGTTGATGGAAGATGTTCATTCAATTGGCCGACTTTAACCAAGGATGTTAGCTGAACCTAGGGCGACGAAGTGCTCAACATGCAAGGGAAGGACGTAAAAATCATGAGAGGCTAGAGTATATAAGCATGACCCAGAAAAAGGTGGTACTAGATTGGAAACCCAGTAAAAATTGAGAAAGCAGTTTTCCAGAGTACAGCTCGATGACACCTTCAAAATAACAGAATACGAGGTAGAGGAGGCAGAATGGCACTCACTGAAAGGCAATTTTAAGAATATATGAAGACAGAGACCTCACACTATGGGATCCATTTTTTTTTTTTATAATATATTAGAATATGAGGTAGTCGAGACACACTCAGAAGTCGAGAATGGCATTCGCAAAGGATGACAATGACGAGAAGTATGTGGAGATTGAGACTCAACACAACACTGATTGGAATGTCTTATATGAGGCACTCGAGGCTACCAGAAGTCTAGATTGGCACTTGCAAAGCGGGATATTGGCAAAAATTTAAGATGGATAGACTCGACACTATAGCATATTGAAGATGGATAGACCCAGCACTATTGGATTGAATTGTTCTTGTAAACAATGATAACCAATAGGAGACCGTTTACGAAATGATGTTCGTAGCACATTTTTTATTTTATTTTTTACCATTAGGTCCTAATCTTGATTCAAGTTGTGCATAATAAAGGCTTCATCGTTAGGACATTAGGTTTGTACTATCACACGCGAAACTTTTCCTAAAGTCTTATTTAATGATGATATATTTTTTTACCATCTTTCGGGGCTGAAAACCTTGATGCTACGACATTATTCTGATGAAGACTTTAGGAAAAGTGGCACGAATTTTGTTTAATAGTAACATTAACTTGATCCCTTGATATTGCAGGACTTGAAGGATTATATGCGTCAGGCTGGGGAAGTGACCTACGCCGATGCACATAAACAGCACAGAAATGAAGGGTGAGTTTTGTATTTCTGTTAATTATGTTTCATATGATTTGTGAGGAATTTTCTCGTCTAAAAGAAATTCGGGAAGATAAGAAGTGTTTTCAATATTTATGCTTTGGTTCGAATAAGGACATGTAATAACTTATGGTAGGTAGCTTACATTATATAGTCCTCCATTTTTAAAATGCCAAAATGTTGGGCACTGCTAAAATAGTTTTAATATTAATTTTAGATTCTATTATAAACCATAGGATGTAGATCATTTATACTACTTGTGTGTAAGTCTGCACAAGTGTAAGAAAAAGAAATGATTTTATATATATAAAATCGTCTGTCCAGGTACCTGTCTCGTGTTTTGGTCAACCAGTTGTTCTTGCATGACTTTATTTGATATCGCAGTGAACTTCCGGGGTATAGAAGCATAACACTAGTCGTCAGCAATAGTCAGAAATGAGGTGCATAATTGGTGTTACAATATATTGTGGGATGTCAGTGGTGTTTGTGTCTGTGTGTCTGCCCATTATGGGCAGCTATTGTAAATTAGATGGGCTTTTAGCTTTTTCATTAAACGATAAAATTTTGTGTAACCCGTATACTTGCATAACACGAATGCGTTGTAGCATATAGGTATAACTAGACTATAATATTTTTCTTAAAATTATCCCCCCATAGAATTTAAAACTTTAGGATGACCATGCAAAAAAAAAGGAATATTTGTCAGCGGATAAGATTATGCTGATGATTTGTAATGATTTACAGTGTGGTGGAATTTGCGACCCATTCTGATATGCGGGCTGCCATTGAGAAGTTGGACGGCACGGAACTGAACGGGCGCCGCATTCGCTTAGTGGAGGATCGCCGCTCGTCACGTCGTCGTACACGCTCCTCCTCCAGTCGCTCTCGCAGTCGTTCTCGCGATCGTCGTCGCAGCCGCTCTAGGTAACTAAATACCCCTCGTCTCGCACTATAGATAATAGATATATAAATGTAATAAATTTGAAGACTGAATGCGCTAATCTCTATAACTACTAGGTAGATTTTATTTTAATTTTACATTACTAAATGTAAAACTAAGCTACTAAGCTTATTTCTTGAGGAAGGTTAATAGGCTGTTCAACATCACGATATGACCACTAGCGATACCGCCGCATACAGATAGTTTTTTTTTTAATAACCATCGTTAGTCATAGTAATACCAATCGCCATAGTTTTTAAGGTTTTCTTATAAGAAACCGAGCAACGAACATCCGAGTGTATCATCCAGAACACCCACATAAGTCAATTTAGAAAAGCTCTTTTTTTTCTATATAGCCCGATTCAGAGTCGAACCCGCAACTTCATAGCACAAAGAAAAGTACACACTATTGTAGCACTGAAATTGTCAATTATTTAGTAAGCCAGTTAGCCCATCATGATGAATACACCTGGAATTCAGCACGATGGTTTCCAGGGAGACCATGTGAAGGTAGACTTGACGGGATATATTGCCAGCAATGGGACTGGTGGTCCATATTACAAATAATTCCTTCCCATATCGTATTAAACTATTCCTATCTCTCAAATTGGAGCAAAGGATACACATTCATAAATTTCATGCAAATCATTTGAACGTTTTCGAAGTCTAACGTGAAAAAACATAGTGACGCTTCATAAAGTAAATGCCAACAAATTAATTAATCCAAGGAGATATTAATAAGTTTTGTTTATATATGAAGCTCACATTTGTAATGTTAGTAAGATAATTCGCTTGGTGTTATCTTTAAAATAAATTTGCTCTTAGGAATTAAATCAACATAATTAAATTATATATTTTAATGATGATACTATATTTTTTACCATCTTTCGGGGCTGAAAGCTCTTGCTGATAGTTTTTAATCTGAGTACGTATAACTACTCTGTATATATTTGTAATATTATTAGTTCAGTTTTTATCTACACATGTTCACATATTTTGCAGCCGCTCAAGGTCCAAATCTCGCCCGAAGAGCAAGAGTCCAGCGGCGAAGTCGCGCTCACGCTCGCGCTCCAAGTGAGTACTTTGTACTTTTTATGGACAGACTTTTTGGTGACACACCAAAAAAAAATCCAAAACGAAATTGTTGTTAAATTAGGTGTTTCATTATGTTTTTTGTACTGTTTTTTGTATCAATAAAAAGTCTGTTAATATTATTACCACTGTTAAATTTTTCCATATATCAAATTATACATGCATGAAAGCACTATAAGTTATATATGATGCTGCAACAAATATCTGTCTCTGAAGTTGCATGACGTAAATTAACCTAGTATTCATTTGGTTAGGTATATAATTACTTGCGCTGAACAAAATTTAATTATGTAAGTACTTAGCTGTAGTATTCACTGTTTCTTTTTTAAACTGTCACTATCTGTGTAGCATTTTGGTTTCCTATGTACTTTTCATGTGTACTTTAGTTGCTTATGTGATATAGACTAATTACACGGTAAGGTTTTATAAATTTTTAAATTTATGATTAAACGATGCTTTTTTTACATACCACTCATAATATTTGAAATTATATTGAGACATAGCATATGCATTCAATACATATCATATACATATAAAATTGGTGAAATTTTAATACTAGTTTCTTTATACTTAGTAGCTATGTATAAAGAAGCGAAAAGTATAAGTCTGTTCACATAAGCAAAATATAAGTAAGCTATATTTATTATGTACTGTCAAAATAGTTAATCACTACTACAGAACACAATATTATTGACAAATATCGTGTAAATATATAAGTATGTAGACTCATAGTTGGTGAAGTAGCTATCTTGACAGATTGCAACTTAGTTTAGTGGCAGTAGTCTATAACTAAACCCCAAATACTACTATTTTGTTGCGGTATCACAACGCTTAGGGACCCCAGTCGTTCGAAGTCGCGGTCTCGCTCGGCCTCGCGTAGATCAGACCGTCGCTCAGAGTCACGCCGCTCAGCGTCCAGGAAGTCTGGAGAACGGAACGGGCACCGTTCAGCCTCCAGGTCAAAGTCCCATTCGCCGAAAGCTGACTCCAAGTGAGTAAAACGAGTGCTTTCAATTCTTATTTGACGGCCATGCACGTTTGCGAGGGTTTTTCTCATTACACCAGAATATCTGATATAAAAAAAAACGTATCTTGCTAGATCAAATTTGGTTTTAACACTCCTTGATATAAACAGGATTATACTCATAAATATACTTCGGTATTCTATAATATTAATATTTTTCCATTCCCTGACTTTGGGAGAGAGCCTCGCAATTTATTTCAAGCATTGTTGTCAAATACATTCACGAAATAAAGCATTGGCATTCGTCTATTTTTTTTTTTTTTTTTAACAAAATTGATTGAACTAACAGAAAATATTGATAGCACAGTTTAAATCATATAAATTATTAACTCGATCCATGTTTTCCTGCATCGCAGAGAGACTGCCATCGCAAGGTGAGCATAGTATTGCATAGTGTTTGTTTCCTTAGCTTTTCTGTCCTTTTTATTTGAGTATTCTTTAGTTTTGCTACTATTATTAATGTATATTATTTGCAGTTGAATTTTTTCTGTGTTTATAATTTTATAATGTGAGAATGACGTTATTATTGTTTTATAGAAAAAAAAATGTAATTATAATATTTTACACATTTTATAGTGAATTGATTGCAGCATTGCTTAGACTGAAAGTATAGTTGTTAACATCAATTGTAATATAAATCTGATCATGGATTCAGTCATTTAAGTTTAGTAATAATTTAAATAAAATGTTAATAATAAATATTTTCATTTTTAGAGAGAGATCGCGTTCGCGCAGCAAGGAGGCATCACCTAAGCGAGAAGAGGAACGCCGCGCCAGCAAGTCTCGATCTCGTTCCCAATCCCGATCCCGGTCGCGCGACCGATCTGCTTCCCGCGACCAATCCGCATCCCGCTCTCGGTCCCGCTCGCCCCGACAAAATGGCGACGGTCACGACCGCGCAAGTACAGACCGCTCCCCGCGCAGTGGCGACTAGGAACTTTAGCGTGTTAACTTTAAGATACTTTTTAGGTTTACGTGTCTATAGTTTAGATGATCCGACTTCGATCGGCGCACGATCTCTGTCTGGTCCCATGGACCTAGAAATATTTAGGCATAAAACAGGGCTCTTTAACGTAACGTTATTCATGCAATGTCTATTATTATTATGTAATGTTGTTTTCAGTTCTAACGATATTCCGGTATGGGTACAAACTGTAGATAAGAGTTTACTATTTTCTTTATTACTCTGTATCATTAATATCGAATTAGATAATTGTTATTCTTTGGGATTGGTTAGATACTATAGTGAGACAACTTATAGTATTAAATGTATTGACCAATAAAATGTGGTACACAAGGCGTGCTTAATACTATAGGCAATCTCTACCAGTCCACCTTTGGCATCAACCCTATGTACCTATATTTCATTTGTGACTTACTATAGTAACAGCACCAAATTTCTAAACATTGCCGACACCGGAGTTTTTGTTACTGCCAAAAACATTAACCTCTCTTATTTTTTAACGTTCCTAGAAGCCCTGAATAAATTGTATCGGCAGTTTTCGAGATAACTCTTTTACTTTCATGTGTGGATTAGTTCAGATAATTTTCTTCATCATAACTAATGGAAAAATAGGAATTATATTTTTTCAAAATACAAGTTACGAGATATCTTTGAAATAGCAATATTTTTTAAATATATTAATAAACATTATTTCTTAGATTATATAGATAGTCTTTATGTAAAATCTTCGAAAAAAGCGGGCCACCATTTTTATACAATTTTGCGTGGTAAATAGTTATGTTTCCTTTATAACTTCTATATTTATTTTGTTTTATAATTTTTGCATCTTTTAAATGCGTAAAAGCTCATTTTATTTTTTAAATAAAGATACGTCAAGATACATTATGTGCGTAAATATATAGAACACTGATAAAAAAAATGAGTCGGCTAATTTAACAATTAGCTGATAAAAAGTAGACCCGTGTTTTAGACTCGATGCTCTATAATGTAAGCATTGTTTATATTAGGAGACTTTGAAAACGTCATGTATTATCAGTTAGTTTCGTTTCTATCATTTCATGGTCCATGGCTAATAAGTATAATGTAGGCTTTCGATATTCGAAGTCAAGTGTAATATATAAGTACTTTAAATTTTACCACATTTTGTCATTGTCTTTCATGAGCGTTTCTTGTCGTTGGCAATGTGACTTGCAGGGTATGTGGCTATCCTAATAAAATTTAATTATACTATTTTTAGTTGAAGTGACTTATGTTTCAGAATTAAGTTAACTATTTTACGGCAAATAAAACGGCGTAAATTATTTTAATATGACTTATGTAATTTTAATATACATGAGCCATGAGTACATCATATAATGTATGAAAATTTGTTGCGACAACCCTCTATATAGTAGGTATGTGGTACTTTGTAAATATTGGATTTTGTTACTAATTACCAAATAAATATATTAAGAATTTTAAATCGTTTCCTTGTTTATTAAACTCATGTAAAAATACATACCCTTACTTATATATAAGAACTTTATTATGTCAATCGTAAATCAATAACTAAATGTCCTTGATGGGAAAATTCACTAATGAGGGGAAAACAAGGGGCTGTTGTATACAATGCTATAAGCTCTCTATGCAGATGCAGAAGCTTCTAAGACGTTGTATAAACGTGTAATTCAGGTATATGTGGTTTTCTTACATGACTTAAATTTTTGAAACTAAAGTCAGGTCATGAAACCTGGATACTAGAAGACTGAATCAATTTTTGTTGGATATATTATCTATACAATATTGTTTAAATTATTACAATGCCCCAAAAGAAGGGAGTTAAATGAGCGCTTTTATAATAATTAAAATGTACAACTAATGTTTACTGAAGTAATTTTCCATCAACGATACCGTGGACGTGCACAGAATATAGTCTACAGGTTTTTTTTTCTATAGTTGATATGTCATATGTCTAGTACAAATAGATGACGATTGATGAGGATCAAAATATACCTAAAGCAAAACGAAAAATATACCTAATCTATCTACATTAGGTATATTTTTTAAATTAACGTTTACACTAGGTTATAAAGTACGTAGTACGGTATACTAAGTTTATAACTTGCGCTTTATATATTTTTACGCCATCTATTATTGAGTAGTGTCAATACTCGGAAAATTGGGAGAAAACTTCTTTCTCAATAGCTTAATATTTTACTTAGTTTGCCGTAAAAATTGAATTATAAAAAATACAACTGTTTTTAAGCAAAACGCAAAGAATAAAAAAAATAGCTATTTTATTAATTGCAAGTAAGTATTACAACAAACTATTTCCATTAGTATTTTAATGAACAGTTTTGGCTTTCAACACTATACGTAAAAAGAGAAAACCCACAGGTAGAGTATAACAAGGAAACACCTCAAGCAGCGTACCATTTGCGTTTTTTTTTAGAGAAGTTACTTTTTTTCAATGGATTATAATGAAATTATATCTCCGCCTGCGTTACCGGTATACGCTGGCAGGGTACTAGTGATGAATGATAGGTGAGGATTAAGCAGGTTTATTGATCCATCGTGATAAATTAAACAATAAAACTAACCGCGATGGTTTTGGAAACCGCGACTTGTAAATATATCCCTTCCTTTCCTGTGAACGCCATTAGAGGTGCCTAAGGGAATTTAATGGTCGTATAATAAGTAGGAGCGTTCTTAAAACACCACCAAAGGCTAATTGCGGTTGCCAACCAGCGTGCTAACGCCTGCTGGAGTAGCACCAAAGAGTTCAATGAGTCGACGTGTCGCTTAGCTAACCTCATACGCAAATAAAGATGAGGTTGCTAATCCCCATTACTAACAATAGTTTCCCCCTAAGATATTTTGATTTAAGGTAGGTATTTTTCTGTACAAAATAGATATATCAGAAAGTATTTCCTGCAACCAGTATTGCAATTTTTGGTTGTAAAACCTCAATTAGGGTGAATCAGCGTCTAGACCAGATTTGTCGATTTATCATCAGGCGAGCAATCATTCAGAATGGTAAATAGCTTAAGTACCTATTTCATATAATTTTTAATTACAATGGCAAAATAATCTCAAAAATTCTTATGATGAATAGGCCATTTATTTAAGTACGTTGCAAGATATTATATACTATCTGCTTATCATCAGGAACACATGTTTGTTCTTGTTTGCCATCTTAGGTGATATAAATATGAATTATATATTTACGTAAGTATGAAACCTCTGGTTTGGGTTTCATCACTTATTATGTTTCTTTATTTCGTACTAAAAGCTAGTTTTGGCTGGTAGAAGATGGGATACGATTAATAAAAAGAAATTGCATTTATAATCTTTTGTAACAATTGTTTATTAACATTTTATTTCTTGTTGCATCACTGCACATAATTACACATTCGTCACAAACACTCGCTGGCAAATTTATCACCGAAACCACGACCCCCGGCGAGCCGTCGCCGCGCCGACCCGCCCAGGGGTCGCCACCAAGATGAACATTAATTACAAAATCACTTCAATTGGGATAAATACATCTATGGAATCATTAGTTCACTTCTATTGAGGATTACTTTCATTTTTCTTTTAAATAAAAAAAAAAAAATGTGAATATACTAAAAGCACACAAAGAAAAATTTTATTGTACTTTGTCCTAAAAGGGACGAAATAAAAAAGATAATTAGAAATCAGGTTTCGCATGCACAATAAACAATATAAGAAAATAGACAGTTTAAAATAAAAATAAGATTTAAAAAGATTAATACTACTTAATGTTAGAAATGGAATGATTTGAACATTTCTTTCAGTATACTCACAGATCCTGACACAAATGCATTCAATTAAATATTCCTGTAAAATTATCCAAAATAATCAAGAAGACAAATTTGGCTTCAGTCAATTGTAAACATAATTCCAAAATATAATTAAACAATGATTTTTATATTAAAAATTAAGGAATTCACAATAATTATAAATGTGTAATAAATAATTAAAAATACTGTCATTTTATTGGCTCTCATAGAATTAAGTTACAAAATTTTATCAATTTAAAAATCCTCAAAAAGAAAAATGAAAGAGAGTTCTACTGTGATCAATTTTAAGTACAAAATTATTTTACTATTTTAGTACAATTGCTAAGGTATGCATTTCTATTTTCACATAATTTAAACTTACATTTTGTCATCTTACAAAATTAAATACAAGAATTATTATTGATCATCAGTCTATTCATAGTTTGATATAATTTTGTCGATTTACCATTTTTTAATCTACTTTCTAGTAGTTACAATAGGCAACATAAGAAGTAACGCCTATCACTTAGCAAATAATATCTACAAGTGTTTCATAAAAGTGTAATTTAACATAAATTATTTCATAAAAGCGATTCGGCGTCAACGATTCGCAGATTCAGATGGAATATGCGAAAGATTAAAAGCCGGAATCTATATAAACACAACATAACTCGAGAACTGTACCTATTAAAATAAATAAGTTAAAACAACCTGGTGCCCTACGACGTCCTATGTTGCCTAATGTCGTTTAATATTGTCACAGTACTCTTACGAAAGTAATGGAGAATATTCTTACAATGCTAAACTTAATAGTTTTTTATACACAATGACTTAGGTTTCGACAATTTGTTTCTTATAAGTACAGAAGTTATTATAACCTATGGACTAATTACGTGCGTGATGTTTAACATTTTGTGTGTTTCAGAGCGCAATTTGTAACGCGTCCATGCAGCGAGCGAAGCAGGCGACATGGCTGCGTTACAAACCGACTCGGTCTCAGGAACGTACGTAGTTACTGTGCTAATTCCAAGAGCGGAAGCTAAATGAAAGAAAAAATCTATGTTGATTTTCAAGAAAACCTGAACAAGATTTTTTTTATTGAAAACACTTTCACTATAATAAATCATAGGAACAATGACAATAATTAGTCAATCACAAAACAATCAATGTAAAACTGATGAACGCATCATTCGCGTTTTTTTTTTTTTATAAATTAGTCTAAAATCTTACTTTACGCACGTTTTGGCTTTTATACTGGTGCGAGTCTAGAGGGATAGTGTTAATGGCGTGGAATGTTCGCAGACTCTATACCGAGCACTTTAAATTTTCAAGGAAGTATTTCAATGGAGATTAAATCTACAACGGTTCATGGAATATCTAGCTATTCGCATCTACAGATGCGAAATGCGTAACAGTTTATTGCAATTATGTAGAAAATTAGAAATGTTGCATGCATTTACCACTACAATGGTGTAATTGTAACAATGTTACGTACGTCGGTTGATCGGAATCGAGTCTGCGCCGGCGCAGCGCAGCGGACCGATACTGCGCGCGCCGCCACACCTTACCTACAGAGATCGCAGACAGTGGACGTGGTCCACCTGGCCCCACGGCTAGCGCGGTCCTCGCCCTAAACCCTAACTACATCCAGCGTACCCGCAAAACATTATTGACGCCTTGTACAACAATGTTATGCGCATACGCCACTTTATCTCTAGATCAGTCTGGCAGTGTCACTTGGGCGACGCTTGCCGATCAGGGGCGGAAAAACGCGATCCGTTCCGCCGTTTTTATTTACAGTGGGGTACGAATCGCCCTCTCAAATAAATACATCCGAATTCTTAAATCTAGCCGTCTATACAGGGGTCACTTTACACTTTATGCTATATTTACACGCGGCGCACAGCCAGAATCGCACGAGCGTCCGTAGTGAATAAATAAGTTATTTTAACGTCCATTGTTGCGTTTACGTGCACTACACTTGCGTGGCGAACGTCGGCGGCAGGCAATGGTCATCTAACACGTACACCCCTCCGCCTTCTAACGCTCGTTTTACTAGCGACGTATCGCTGTGGACAAAAGAAAATAGGTTAGTTAATAACACTATTGTTACCAGTTTTATGGAAAAGAAAACCTTCTAAAGGCTATTCATCTGTATGTGTTTATGAAATTATGATTTTTAAATAATATTAATGATTTTTTTTGCAATTTAGAATGGCAAACAAACTGATATTCCACTTGATGAAAAATTATAGCCGTCGCCAATAAACATGAACAACATCACAAAATTTGTACAAAATCTACCTCTAAACATTAATAAATAAAATATGACCATAAGTTCATTTGGAATACTGACCTATTGGCGCAATACGCTGAGTCGGCGGAGAGCCGCGATAGTCTAGGGTCGAGCGCCGCTAGTAATCGCGCTGCGCTCTCTGTGTTTAGAGTCTTTCTTTTGCACTCTTCTGCCGCAGCGTTGTGCGCATTCTGGCACTCCGGTACGGGCCCCTCGCACTTCCCCCATGTATTGCGGATGACGCGCCCGCCGCCACCCGCGTTCGCTGCATTCTGGGCGCGCGCTTCCGCGTCTGCTGCACTCTGGGCTCTTTTCCTTTTCCTCCTTATGCAGGCCACAGCGACAGCTGCAATAAGCGCCACCGTTGGCACCACAACGGAGAAAGCAGCTATTAATGCTACATGATTTCCTGTTAAACTTTCTTCCTCAGGTGTGTCGTCGCCGATTCTTCTTAAATGTCCCCCAGCCGGTTTGGATACTGCTTCCGCCAATAGAACGGTACACGATTTACCGCCCCAACCTGGGGAACAGTTGCAGTGATATCCGTCCACTCTGTCTCTGCAAGTGCCACCGTTCCGACATGGTGATGATGCACACTCATCTACGTCGATACTGCAATCTTTGCCAGCGAAACCAGGTCGACAGCGGCATTCGTAGTCATTGTCGAGAACCATACATTCGCCGCCATTGGCACAGGGTTTTGCAAGGCACAAGTCGACTCGAGTTTCACATCGCGGCCCGAGGAATCCTGGCGCACATTGACATCGTTGTCCATTAACCAAGTCGACACATGTACCTCCGTGCTCACAAATAATACCCATGCAATCATCTATGTCGATTTCGCATCGATTGCCTCTGTAACCAAGTTTACAGGTACATTTAAAACCATCTCCGGCTCGGGCGCATGTTGCTCCATTTCGGCAAGGATTGGCAGAGCATGGGTCGGCTTCTACTGCACAATCTACACCGGCGTAGCCAGCAGGACACACACATACATAGCCAGATGGTCGAGGTTCGCAAGTGCCACCATTACGGCAAGGTCGATCGGCACAAGTGAGTCTTCGAGTTTCGCATCGTGCTCCTTCGTATCCAGACGGACATGCGCAAGCGAGTTCTCCGCCTTCGTCAGGGACGCATGCTCCTCCATTTTTGCAAGGTCTAACAGCGCAAGAATGATGACTTTTTTCGCAATCAGGTCCAGTGTATTCTGCTGGACAGACACAGGTGTAGCTTCCCTGTCCGGTGTTATGACACGTCCCCCCATTTCTGCAGGGGCGATGATTAGTACAGTAATTCAAATCTTGATTGCAGAAGAGACCGCCCCATCCTTCCTCGCATATGCAATCCCAGGGCCTCGAGCAGGTTCCGTGTACGCATCCCGGATGTCGCTCGCATTGATCGCAGAGCTCGCCCACCCAGCCCGAATGACAACTGAAATCAAAGGAAAATATTCATCAGTAAAGAATACGTGATAACAAGGGTCTAAAAACCGTGTCTTTCTTCACAAGAGGAACAATGAGGAGAATGAATGATATAGACGCAGAGGGCGGCAATGTTAAGTGTTTAGCACAAAAGTGTGAAGTGGGTACTCACATGCATTCGTCGGGCTTGAGGCAGTGGCCGTGCTCTGCGTCGCAGCCGGGTAGACATTTCGCTGCAACAAAAAGAATACATTCGTTAGCGCATCACAAAGACAAAGGCTGACAAAAGAATAGCTAACTAATGGATTTCTTTAATTTTAAGCCATGGGGAGCGGAGCGATTAATCTTCCGGCTGAAAATCGTTTCTCGAACGTAGTTTCTCGCATTAATGTTGGAATCTCCGTGCAGTTTCGTTGCAAAGGACACGGCGAGTGCAACAAAGAGAGAGGTTCGTTAGCGTCCCGGCCGGGGGCGAGGTCGCGCGCACAAACAATTTATCTCCCACCAGCTCGCGCTTCGCGACTACAACACGATCCTCAATAAACTTTATAATCCACATTAAATTATTTTATGTATCTATCTATCGTACGAACTTACATCTTGGTATTCAATAAATACTTCCATGTTATTTAAAATTTAAAAGTACATTCCGGTGTTAGTAGATTATATATATATGCTTACAAAGACGAATATTAATACAAACAGATGATGTATTATGGAAGTAATATTATGTGCGCATCGTTAACCGTGTGATTTACGTGCTGTACGCCTGCGAGCCTTATGTTGTTCTAAACTTTTAACATGCGGAGAAAGCACGGACAGGCAGCAATTGGTCGAAATGCATTGCCGTGTACGTACATTCGAAGACCTATATTGTAAGCTAAAAGTAGTAATGTATGATTAACAAAAAAATTGTATGGAAATAAGAAGCAGCGCTGACTCGTATCGGTCGGGTGCGCATGGGCAAGTTATCGGAGCGAATACAAAGGGGGCAGATAGCGCGGGGAGCCTAACCGTCACTCGACCGTTACTATTCCCCTAACTCACTAGAAAAATACTAGACGCCATCTTGATCATTACCACAAGGAATAGTGTTTAAATGCAAATGTAAGCTGGTTAATATATTCTCAGTCTAAAATAAACAAGGAAGCAATTTCTACGAAGTTTCAGTTAAGTACAGAAATTCGAGCGGATTTTCTGATCTCAGTTCGGTTGGGAGCTAAATAAAGCAGATTAGCCTTCTCTGTGCGTTCCCTAGACAGTAATATAGGTTTAAGCCGACCGACTGAGCACAAAGCCCCGAAACTTGCGCAGAGCGTTCGCAAATCGGCTTAAGTTCCACTTTAGCAAAATTGTTTGGGCTTTATTTTCATTCCATTATCGTAGATTGTTTTATTTCATATAAGAATTGAAATTGAATAAAAGACAATAGACTTTCACACAGTCGTTAACACTTTCGCGAACAAAATTTAAATGTTTTAAACGATCTTCTCATGACCTTTCGTGGCCATTACACTGAATTAATAATAAAAGTTTATGGGATACATAAAACTTAAAGAATTGTTGGCGCCACCACCGTGCATCCATGGGAGATCAAAGAAATTAAAGCGGCTCATTGCTCATTGCTCTCCACTTCAATGCACTCCCACTTGAGCTTATCTTGACCCTCGAACGGTAGGTAAAACGGGAGTCGTAAAAATTACACTTCAAATACTAATAATACGGTCATAAGTGGTCTCGACGAAGCCGCGGGGAGGATGTTCTGTTGTCCTCCTGCAGAGCTATTAATTATCAATGAGCACGAACGGTATCGATTTCTAATGAAAGGCTAGCGTGTGCCGCACTGCGACCAAGTCTTGAACTTCTTAACATACCCCGCGGCCTTTGTCGAAGCTATGTAGGACGACAAAAAGCAACCTTCCCCGAGGATGAACCTTCCCACGTGTCCGGGCCCAGGCAAATATTTAACTGTTTTACACATCTGCCTCCTATCTGAGACGGAAATTAGGAGCGCGTGGGATTCGCGATTCAATACAGAAAGTAATATTCGTGAGAACTTTATTCTCGTTTACAATTAGGTGAAATTAAGCGGGCGTAAAGGCTCCTCGCGCGATGTTTACCCTATCATTAAGAATGAGAACTGGATGCTGGATAATGCTGTCGGGACATGCGAATAAGTTTTTCTGGATTGTTAAGCTTTCCCAGAAGGCAAGATACCGTTTGGCAGATGTGAGGCAAGTTTCGTGACACGGTCAAGTACAGAGTTTATTTCGATTGGTGTTCAGTTCTCGTTTAAAGGTGTTTTTGACCCGGTTCGCGGCATCTGTGTTGCGGGCCGCCGAGCGATGTGTGTGTGAGCGAGTGTATAGCGTTGTTTTCATTTCATTATGGCCGCTTCTCTCGCTTTTACATTTTCGTAATCGCCGATACAAACTCAACCGATAGGGTTGGCGAGACTTTTATTGCCATACATTTATGTAACTTACGGTCGTTTATGTTTGCAAAGTAGCTTCGTTCACACGTTCACTATAATAACCCACTATTTTTTGTAGCGGGGCCATCTCGTATTTCGAAGAGGACAGTCATTCTTATTTGTTTAACTTTTCCAGAAAATTGTGATTTCGCGCTTATCCTGACGCGTGGAGGTACCAGGGTCGCATGGCTCACGGGCGGGCAGCCCTGGCGTGCGAGCGGGATGGTGCGCTACGCGGAGCGAGCTCGTTGCTCTCTGTCGGGCGCGTTTTTTGCGGCGCCGGAGTGTGGGAACGCGGCGGCAGGTGGGGCTGCCGAGATTGCGACGCGACATCCGCCCGGCCACAATGCATCTCGAGACGCACCGCTTTGTTTTACAATACACGACGCGATGTGTTTAACATACGTCAGAAGGTAGTAATGACGTTTGAAATGTATAGATATGTTTTTTGGTCACCGCTCATGCGTATTTATTAAATGGTACTTTATAAAAGCGAGCATCGGCTAATGTCGTTAATGATGCGCTACCGTAGATTGCTTTGTTTACAAATGGTACGCATTCATGAAGGTAAGCAAACATGGACCACACGCCCGGATGGTCGCACGCTCACGAAAACTAGCTGACTGATGAAGGATTAAGTTGCTGAGTAATAACAGAATTTTAAATAAACAGAAAATCATATGTACTTTAATTTGCTAACAAGATGATTTCACGATGCAAAAATATTAGTCGAGACGTATAAAAGACAACATGGCATACGTGTTTCTGTTTGTTGACCGCGGTCATCAGAGAACCTTTTAATGGATGTGGTATTTAACTGTTATGATGTGACGGACATTGTTAAGCAAAGTTTATTTGTCGGTACAGACGGAGAACTAAATGACTCAATTTTATAGTTTAAAGATAATAAATCGTGACTTACAAATTTTTTCCTTCGTTTTATTTTGTCGTAATTAATTCTGTAGATAGTAAGATAATTTTACTGTTAACGTTTATAAAAAAAAAAAAACTCAATTATATTAAAATACATTTGGCACATTTTAGATAATTTTATCTCAGTTCACACATGCAAAGCCGTGGGTTGCAGCTAGTTTTATTAAGTTAATTGCCGGCACCGCGCTATTTATAATATATAAATCAAAATATACTTAAGTTAGCCATGCGAGGCGAGAATTTAAAATAAACTAAATAATTGTGAAATTTATTAACAGTAATTTACTTGGAGGCCGAGCGATGCCCGCAGGAAGTTGATGTAACCTTATAAATTAATTATATATATTCTAATATTCGATTATGTATACGGACTAATTAAAACAAGGATTTATGATCGAGATATTGTCAGATAATAGGTCATTAAAATTTGCGAATTATAACCTCTCGCAGTCTAGCACATATTAAATATTACCATAGAATAAATATTAAAGACAGTGTTGCCACCGTTTTTTTTTTTCTTTACTAGCTGCATCTCGCGGTTTCGCCCACGTGAATCAGTACATTCAAGTATCTTATGTGCTACGTTAGGATATGACCTACCATTATACCAAATTCCATTCAAATTTGTTCAGTAGTTTTTGCGTGAAAGAGTAACAAACATCCAGCTATCTTTACAAATTTCCTCCTGATGGAAAGTGCTAACCGTCGCTTATAGACATGAGCAGTACCATGGATATAACAGAGTATACTACTCAGGACTATAGGACTCAGATGTTATTCCTCTGTACCCTGTAATTCACTGCCATATCCCACCCTTCAAACTGAAACACAGCCATGCAAACACAACTGCTTCACGGTAGAAACACGAATATATCATTGTCATAAGAATATAGTGGAAATGAAATGACTATCACTGTGTTCTGAGTCCTCATTTCTAAAGCAGAAGGCCAGCCGTTTTAATTAGGTTTTTTTTTATTAGGATGCCACGCAAAAAATGTCACAGCAAGTTTAATGAGGAAGAGGGAATTGGGGACTGTGACATATTTAAACGATAGGCATTTGACATTAGGTATATGAGACATTTTATAATGGGCAACAATCCTTACTAATATGTATATTATGTGAAATTGAGTTTGTTGGTATGTCACATTATAGCGCCTTAACGGCTTAACCAATTACTATGAAATATGGTATACACGTAGTATGTGGGATGGAGAAGGATATAGGTTAATTTTTTAATCCTGTCCGTAAACACATCTCGTTCATGCGGATGAAGTCACGGGTAAAAGCTAGTACACTATGTACTTTACTATTATAATAAAATGAAGAGAAAAATCATATAAGAGATATTATTTATTATTATTTTGGCTTTTATAAATAAATACAAAATATTTTTTAGTATTTTTGTTTGTTTATCTGTATGTTTGTTCTAGCTACATATGGAAACTATGGAATCAAATTGAATACAATTTAACAAATTGAATTTTACGGTTATTTTTCTCAAGGTCTATCTTAAAGTATGTTTTATCTTGATATACCCTCTAAAAGTAGTTACTCTTAAATCCACGCGTACGAAATTGCAGGCAAATGTTAGTCTATTTTAAATAAAAAAAAAAATAAAAATAATAATAACGGGTAATTCACTTGTTTGTGCAGATAAACCGGGAAACAACTAGTGTGTTACATCAGATGCTATATTAGTATGCTGTTTGAGAATCTAATTACATTTAATCAAATTTCAAAATGTACATTCAATATTTTATAAGAGTAACTTCCTTATTTATAAAAATGTTAAACCTCATATATCTATTTTACCTATTGCAATGTTTTGTCTTTTTCTTTCGCTCTAAATTCTCAATTTGAATGTAAGTGACAAAACATTGTAATAGTTAAAGTAAGGTTCGTAGGAGGTTTTAGTTTTTATGAATAAGGAGGTGTCTATCGAAATTCTAGTGGACTCTTCGAATACAAATAACATTCCGAATGCAGCGGTAGATTAAAAAATAATCGAAAATATGATCGAGTATATTTATCTAGTTACTAGACGATGTATAAGGTGAAGTGATACAGTATGTAGGTAACTATATAATTAAAAATGGCACGCGTCAATAACAAATCAATTTGTGAAACAATTGTTATAACTAAAGAGATATACGACGAAGGATTAGCACTTGAAATTGAATAATACAAACATGTGAGACCTACTGCGAAGGCGGACTCCCACATCAATAATGCCTATTTCGTATGTGTGAATGAAGCCGTATCTTTAGTATAAGAATTTCATATAAGAAGGGCATTTAAGGAAGATTTTCGCGCGTGATAATAATAGACAATCGTATTATGCAAATTGAAACATTTGTATGGCCAAATTTATTTATTTTTATTTATTTAAACTTTACTGACCAATAAAATGTGATATAGAAGTTTCTGTAATTAAGTAATTGATTTTGTTTGTTTACATATTGTTAATCTTTATAAACTGTTTCATTATTTGAAGGGAACAATAGTTTTCATTCATTCATTCATACAGAAGGCGGACTTATGAAGTAGGCATTCTCGAAAAGTTAAATTTTAGGATATGCAGCTACTAGATGGCGGTTTAAATAATATTTTAATGTAATATAGAAAATTACATACTAAAAAAAAAAACAATGAATTCATATATACATTTATAGAAAATGTAATATTTAAGCACATGTTAATATATACATACACAAAATATATTTATAATTATATATACTATATATACATTTAATAAACTGATTGATTTAGTAGACTCATTTTTGTAGATGCATGATTACAGTTGATCACGATAAAACAAAACGATGAAAGCGAGATATTTTTAGACATAAGTTATATTTAAATTATCGAAATAAGGTTCGAATTGTTAATATAGCAACAAAAATTATGGGCGAATTGATATTACAAATCATAGTCATTGAAAGTCATAACTGCACAAACAGTCGCTTGATGCAAATGGTGCAGGGACGTATTTTGTAGTAAAATATGAGGAAGAGAGAACTTCCTCAAACTTCGCCACAAAGTAATTTCAACAGTGGATGACAGATGGCTGTAATAATTATAAATGTTTAAACAACAATAAAAATAATAAACTTACGTTTAGAACAGTAGTCCCCAGTCCAGCCGGGTCGACAGACAATCTCCCCAGTAGATGAACAGGTGTAATGCCCGAAGGCGTCGTCCCGTGGCCTGCACAGGACTTCGCAGCCGGTCCCGTAGTAGTGCGCCGCACACGTCACCCGGTAGGAGAGCCTCAGGTGCGCCCCACCGACACCCCCCCATTTCTGTTCCTCCTCGACCCACGGGCCTCCGACATCGGCTATACTCTGCTTCGTCATCCGCGCGATTAGCGTATCTAAAAGTAGAAAGACTATGTTAAATTACTCATTAAAAAATCCAGCACGAAATGGTAAGGAATAAACAGGCTTGGAGACATGGAGATGATGATAAATAAATTATTTTTTAATAACTATTTATCAATTAAAATGGAATGGTAATTCTGCATGCGCTGGTGTTTACGCGGCGGGGTAACAGTGAGGGACGATAGGTCAGGTCAGTTTGCCCATCGTGACGATTTCATCAGGAAATAACTACGATGATTTCAAAGGGGAACCGCTCATATATTGCTAACAACGGAGCCACAAATCTTTGTCCTAACAATCCTCTCTTAAAAAATATTATACATCCTTATTATAGTTATTATATGAAGCCTATTTCTTTCGGAAAGAAACAGTTATATTTTATTAAATGATGAACAAAAATTTAGCCAAATATTCAGAGCCGAGCTTGTTCAAGTGTATACATTGATCAAGTGTCTCATCGACTAAGTTATAATAAAATGATTATTACTAGAAAAAAGTGATATCTAAGGATAACTTAATTAGATTAGAATCTACTAAATGCACAAATATTTGTTTATCATCGTGGGAAAGGGTTTACAGAAGTAAATTGACCTGTTAACGTCGCTCGTTTGACGCCCGCATTCGACCGTGAGATTTCATTGTTCCCAAGCGTGATTCACTGTTTTGATTTGACGGAGGCGCCCGTTCTACGATTGATTAATAGTTTTAAATACATTTCTTTAGTAACATAGTAGCCACCATAGATAGAATAGCGAAATAAATGCTTTATATCTCAGTGCAAAGACATTGCATAACATACAAAAACTAGTCTTTGAAAACTACCCACAGTCGCTTATAAAAAAACTGCCACTCCATTCATCAAACCGCTGTAAGTGGCCAGTCGAAGGCATGCTGAGAAATCTCAGCCTCGACCAGTTCCTACCTTTATTTATTTCTCGTCGTGTATGCCCGCTTTTTGCTCTTTTTGCCTCGATGGTACATTCCTAAGCCGGTAATCCCGACAGCAGATAAAATTAAACCAGACGCGAAACAAAATTAAAAGGTATATAAAAACGATCGATCCCGACTAATTTCGTGACGTATGGTATTCGATACGACTGTTCTTTTTGTTTACTCGGGTGTCGGAGATAAAGCGTATTCAGTAATGAGAGTCCATCGACAGTTTATCTCCTAATCGAGCCTCTACGTTCCATTTGTTTACGAATTCGACGATTGGTAATATTGTAACGATAATCGCGATCGGTTACGAAATATTCGAATACATCGTAATGCACACGACTTACCGATGCGGTGTAGGTTTACATCGATTGTATCTGATCAATAAATTTAAAAGATACGAGTATGCACACATCAGTAAGTAGTAGTCAACGAAATAACAGTAGGTATAAAATAAATTTAATTTCCAAGACGAGTTCTAATCGAATAGAAATTGAGGAATTTTTAATCATTTATAATTGGTTGTACGGACAAGTGTCGATAAGATTTCCTTCATTAACATATGATACCCTTCTTATATCGTATTTGATTTCAAAATTCGAATTGTCAACGTTCTTCACATTTTATAAATATAATATACAGCGGCATCGAATGGGCATCGAGATGTGTAATCGATTAATGCTCGTAAAAGCCCAATATAATATTAACTATTAAGCATAGTGGAAAATGGGAGATGTCCAATTCGCGTCTCGCTTGTGAACAAGAATGAAGTTTGTATTGCTTTTCTACAAAGTTAATAAACAATGCGAGTGTAAAAAGATAGGTTTCAAAGAAATGTTATTATACCCAAGTGTTCAGAGTTCGGAGGGAATTAGAAAAATGACGTGTGGGAACCGAATGCAGGCTGTGTGCAGTGCAATTTAGTTTAAATGTGCAACAGAGAATTATGGCAACCGTGCACTTGACGGCTCAGGTGTACTAGGGTTGCGACTTTTATATCTGAGATTAATTGGGTAATATATTTTTTATTATTTAATTAATTAATTTAATTATTTAATTTTTAATCACTATGCCTTCTACGTAGTTTATTATGTAAATTTTGAATATTAAAATAACTATAATATTAGAAATATCGTTAATACTATTTACTATGAGGTTTTTATTCCTTATTATCCGCTCGAGTCAATAAGTCTCGTCGGCCTGGTGCCACAAAATAACCGCACAAATTACACCCATCATCCTAATTCAGTGCCGTAACGATATTAAATGAAGGTGTACCCGGCTTTCGCGTCTATTAATGTAATTCCGATTCACAAATAAATAACACATTTAAAGAAGGACGGGGCAGTAAGTCTGGGTACGTGCCGCGCCGCCGCTACGTCAGATAACGTGTAATTACGGGCCCAGAGGTCACTACAAATAAAACGAGAATAAATCCGAACGGCAAACGCCAATAAACAAAAACAAAAGAAAGCGAAATAACCGATAATTTGGTTTGGCTTCGCTATCGGAGGCGGACGCGGTCGATTTGAGATGTTCAAAACGCGAATTTAGGGAAACGCGGGGATGCGATCACGCGAGGTGGCTTCCGCTGTGATGATCGATCGATCGGTCGATAAATAAGGCCGCCGGATGTCGGTCTCTCATTCATTATGCTTTTAGACCGACGTCGGCGTCTAACGAACGCCTAAACTGGATCGAGCTGATGCTCTAATTAGTGGGCTGTGGGCGTTGAACGAAATCGAAATCGGTGACGCGTAGTGCTTTGCAAAGGTTCGACGACTTTTCGCAGCTGAGACCCGCATCATTAAACGCTGCCTCGATTTCCACTTCTCGATTCGGACACCTGCCCCGGCCGGTCGCCGAGCCGCCGGCGTTGTGGGAAACGGTCATCTCATCAATGGACTGTGTAAACAAACGACTCACTCCTTTTGTTTATAAAACTGTCCACTTCTAACGCTCATCGACAATACATTTGACATCTAAGTGCGCCTCGGAATCGTGCTACATAAATAACTTCATCCACTCGACGATCGAGTGCTTCGGACGTTAAGGATTTTAATTTAAGAATAACAAACAATGTTCTTCAAAAAGGATTTCGCGCAATACGACGCTGAGGATGCTTCGTTTTAAATCTCCCATTGTTTAATGAGAAAACGTACCTACAATTTCGTTCCGCGCAGAGAATTCGATGAATGCGGAGAATTGTGTAATGCACTTGCTACATTTACATTACATTATGCTGACGGGGCGAGTTTAACCTTTGTGTAAGGTAATTAACAATTGAAAGTAATCATAAGTAGATGCGAAAGCTCTGGGAACGTATACTAGGAGCGACTGGAATTGACTAATAATGCACAGCTCGCTATCCGGCGATAGTGAGATAAGCTGCCGTCACAACATAACTGTATCGATAATCGCATCTCGTTCGTGTAATGTCAGGCGGCAATCGGTAGCGCGGCCTGCGGCGACTTGCGATGATCACTACACCACTCGAATAATTTTACGAATCTCTTAATGTTACATTGCGCCTATCGTTTCGCCTGTATGGGGCGAAACCAGTATTGTAATCGTAAACAGGACGCTTCTGTAAACAGATCTGAGGACGGGACAGTGGAAGTGTGCCCACCTATTATCCGAGAGCATGTGCTTGGCATCTGTCGACAACGTTTCCTGAGAGCGCCGCAGCGCCTGTTATATCATAAATTTGTACCTTCCGGAGCGCCTTCCGTGCTTTTTTACTCGATTCAAGCCCTACGACGACGAAAGATGAAGTGTAAACTAAAAGCTACTTCCCTCAGAAAAATGTTTTTTAGCATTGGGTAAACAATACGCCGACCCGTTAGTACGAACCAGGTGCAGCCTTGTCCGCCTCGGGCGCACACAAAAGATTTCGGTGAAGAAACGAGCGACAACATCAGCATCGCTTGTTACTATTGTTGTATTTGTTAGCACGGGAATTTCGTTATTTATCTCTATGAAGCCAGTAACAATTCAAAATACAATTGTGTGTTTATCTCCATGATATATTAGATTCTTTAGACGTGTGGTCCTATTCTTTGTCGACTGTCTTGTGTATGAAAATTTAAACGCAAGGGTCGAAATAAGCGATTTATGCAAGTTTCTTCTAAACTAAGATTGCAGCTGTTACGGCCGATATTAGATAAAAAAAATCAAATATGATTTAATTAAGCATTAGCCCAGTGAGTAGATGGTGAGTGAACACAAACGGCGTTCTTGTAACCTGTTATTATGGTTGATTAGATTTCTGTTGGTAACATTTCTCGGTAGTAAGACGGCGCCGCCCATCGCTCCCGAGCCGTATTAAAAATATACCCGTCCACTAAGCTATCCACCGCGGACGCTAATGATTTTCGTTGTACCGGCCCGTAGACACACCTCGCCGTATCTCCGAATCTTGTCTAAGTAAATCACCGTTTTTTTTGGTTGTTGTTCTGTCTGGAGTAGTAATTATGTCGGTCAGAGTGCAGCAGGATGAAATTCTAATTAAAATATGGGCGTTGCTGGCCGTTTTCGCGGCGGATTGTTTTATAATTTTCGAAAAGTCGATTTGTACATTAGATTCTCTAGTTTTTTCGTGATGTAGTTACGTATCGATGCACGAAGTGAATTATCATGATGATGTATTTATGAGCAGGCCCGGTACATTTCATTCGGAATGGTTTTTTCGGTCACGCCATGTCGCATGCACGCCGTAAACTGTCGATTCTTTATTGGGCGTTTCGACTCGACGTGGTATCGTCGAATGGAATAAGCTCGAGTTATTCGATCAAATCGATTGTTTTAATGATAACAATCTAATATTATTCGTGCACATGGCATCTCCAATTTAAACGTTTCTTGTGTTGGTAATCGCGTGTGAAACAAAACGCAATCGTAAATACAATTCGCCTATTTTTTTGGAGTTGCGTTATAACGCGCCCAGGCTGCCGGTCAACGGCCATCAGAATACATTAGAACATTTCTACTAAATTTTCGTCCTACAGAAGGCTGACTTTATTAGAATACGACGAGCATTGCGAAGCGAATCACGCGCGACGCCGCGTGCCCTGAACGCCAATCGTCCACACCATGGGAACATTTTTGTCTTCCACGATATGATAATATGAGCATTCAAATATACATACTGTCCGTTAAATGCACGATAAACACACAGAATTACAGTGAAACCTGAATGCGAGTGAGTCGTGAGCGACGTGATTTGAATTTTACAAGCGGCGACGATTTTCATGACCCTCTTTATCATAATCGTATTAGAAAGAAAACACTCACCGTCAGATCTCGACGTTTCGTTCGAGTCGTGCCACGCTTCGACTATAAGCGAGAATGTGCCCTGGAAAAAGAAATAAGGAAATTTAATAATCACAAAATGCGTTACCCGAAAAAGAAAGTAAGGGGAACTTATCAGGAAATCACAAAAAGCAATCAGATACATTAACGGAATATTTAATATCTAAACATAATATTATATTATCAATACAACTTCCCGTGTTACAAAATTGTGTTCATTTAGTTTCTCATAATATTAAAAATTTCAGGTCATTGCGACTTAACTCGATATACTCTTTGGTCAATAATGTAAATTGATAAAAATCTCAAAAAATGCTAATTTCGTTTCCTTGTTGCGTCAAAAATGCAAAAAGGTCATTATGTTTTATGAAGTAACAATATCGTGGATTATTTCACATGCTTCGCCAAATCAAGGTATAATAGCATATCCTTTGAATGTGGACCTTTAAAACAATTGCCATAATATTTCATATATGTATTTCCTTTATTCATAACATAGTCACATTCTTGGTATGTTGGTGGGGTGTAAATTGCCACATGATAGACAGGTGAACCAGCGAGCAGATGGTAAAAATTGTTTCAATATGGGATAAAAATACACAGGCTTAACACGACAAACGCGCGTACTTATTTCGCCCAATATGGGATCATGTAATGGTTCCGTGCCTTTATAAAAAATCGAGAACGAGTGCGTATCAGATAGTGAGCTATTGACATTTGTCGATGTTTACATAAGGAGCGAAACGGCAGTCGAAAATCGATTACAAAAGATAAGGAAGGAGTCAACACCTTTTGGGCGCCCACGTCTCACTTATCAATGGGTTTGATAGCCCGCTCTAAATTTATCCATGCAAAAATGGTACGGCCCTACGCGTTGGTAGAATGTTTGTAATAGCCATGCGGAGTTCGCTCGCTGCCCTGTAGGCGCCGGTTGTGGGAGTTCATAAAACATAGATCACGAATCTCGATACTTATGCTTGCCTAACAACGAGCCCTTATGATCTCCGAATTTCACTGTAACGAGAATTTAATTGCACACTTGTGGGCGTGTTCGCTAAGAAATATTCCCCGAAATGCTACTGTAGTTAATATACGGCGATTAAATAAATATCGTCGGTATATAACACAATTCCTGGAGAGGTACTTGAAAAATACGGACAACAAAGACAAATTTGAAGAGTACGTTGCAACTATAGCGTTTTAAAGACGGATGGACGGAATTTGAGACAGTATTATAATTACAATAAGCATGCCACGGGTCGTGGCTGCAGCTGCGCTCGGCGGATATGAAGGGTCACTATATTAATTTGATCACTCCGCTACTCTTAAAGAGTGATTCAGTTTTTCCTGACAGATGTCGCCCGTCGTCAATTAGTCTTGATGAATGAAAACATCATTTGCATAGGCGAACAATGACTCTATTTGCATAGGAACTGATATGTTGCCTCTCTAATAAACAATGCAAGAAATCAATACTAGAAATCATCGTTTCCCAACACACCTCGCACGGTATTTTATAAAAAGTGAACGCTTTTCGATATCTTTTCCCGGCAACTCTCATTAGAGCTTTCGATACAGTAAGGTTTTGACGAATTTATAATAAGGTTTCGTTAAATACATCGACAATACAAGCGGACGTGTTATCGCCTGTTTCTGAATACTAAACAGGCTGCCGTATTGTGACTAAACAAATTTGAGCCTTAAACGCAGTAAGTACACCATTATCAGTGTTTGTACCGAAATGTCAATTTATCGTAAACCTTACTCGGTGTAAATAAGGAGCGAAGGACAGTTGTCATTACATTTTATTATGATTTGTGTTGCGTTCAGCCGATCAAATATGGCAAGTCGTAGTATACGGTGTATTGATTTGTTAATCGAGTATGGAGAGCGCATTTCGGTCAGCTGTGGCCGGTTGTAAGTATATGCTGGTTCCCACGACAGTGACTCTCGAGGTAGCCTATAAAAAGCGGCCGACGTAAGCGTACGTGTGGTGGTGGCAGCCTTTATAGATGTGTCGAGCTGGCGATATCGTACATTTACTCATACAATAAGTTGCACAGACTGCAGCTAGCTGGCAATTAAGGAAATGTATTCGCCCGTGTCCAACTAACTTTATTTTATGTCGATCATATTCGAATTCATTGCAGTTTGTTCGACTTTGTTCCAATTTCGAATAAAATACTGGCCATTAATGTGTAAATTACCGTTTCTAATTTGGATGTATCTCTTATTTTTTTAAACGTAAAGATATTTACGATGTAAAATACAATATCGACATGAGATCGAGCCGTATCGCGACGCATTAATTGTATCCCTCGAATGTGATGCGTTAAATTGTATTAAAGACTTAAACGAACCAATAGAATCATATCGTGCGGTCTGAATGCTGGGGAATTATTTGATAATCGTTTTATGAGGGTTCCTAAAGAGGCTACTTCCATATCGGAGCCTGTTTCGGAGTTATTTCGTTATTAATTAAGGAACCCGATGTAAGGATACATCGATACGTGGGAACGATCTGTACTTTTGTGGCTCTTGTTTGTAAGCGCCATTTGTTTGGGATTTAAAGCTTTTGAACAAAAGAAAATAATAAGGTGTAGGGGGTGCATTTGTGAATCTTCCTGACACGTGTTTCGGTCACCATTGTTTGTTTTAATGTTTCGTTCTTTAGAAATTGCAACAGATGTTGGAAATGTTCATTTGTTTTCGTTATCGCTTATGACAGCACGACTGTGGAGATTTTTTCTTTTGTACAGACCTTAGACAAGGTTTACGGTGTTTAACATTAACCATGCTAGTGCAAGTAATTTCTATCTATATATAATAAAATTGTAACCACACAAGACTGTAGTCTATAGATAGGAGATATTTAAAAAGATATTATAATTCAGGTTATAAATATATGCATGGTCTTAATAACATCAATGGAAGCCAAAACAATAACTTTGAAATTTTTTTCTGTTGTCCGTGTGTTCGTGTTGTTCCGACAACACCAAATTGGATTCGGCTACTCAATTGTGTTCCTGAAACATAAAATCTAGAACAATCCTAAAATTTAAAATGTTTTTATTTTAATCGGTTTCCCCACTTTCAAAATCCATATCCGTAACCGAGTACGAAGACACGGGCAAAAGCTAGTGATAAATAAAATAGAACAAGGTCGTTACAGTACCGCCGGTGGATTATTCGGTCAATATTGATACAATATCGAAAGTATTCATAAAACCCATACAAAAACTATATTACCGTATTTAGCTTTCAAGTTTCGTCACGAGAAAATATTTGGAACACAAATACCCGGGCAAGTGGAAGAGTCGTGATTTCATATTTCACACTTTGTGTCAGCGTGGTAACGTTGCTTTTGATGTTTTTTTTTTTATTTACTCGTATATAAGTAGAGGTGGTTTGTCTTATCGGCTAATGGAATTTGATTATTATTACATATAGGATTAACAAAAAAGTTATATGCAAAGTTTTTATTGATTTGTAGACAAGCCAGCGAGTCTGTGTAACGCGTCAAATTAATAAAAACATACTTATGCAAATTTCAATGTCTGGCAGATAAGTTTCTTTATTAAAGTGTTTCGAACGCATTTAATTCAGATTATTAATGCTTTTAATTAAGTTTATCTGCTTCTATTTTGGCATCTGCGATTGTGCGGTGCATTGACCCGTGAATCATAAGTAAATCAGAGTAGGAATTTACGAATGAGAATCTAATGTCATTTAAATGTGGGTATAGTCTATAAGAAAATGTATGTAGTACATAACAAGAGTTAGAACATTTAATCAGGTAGGTTTAGTAGGTAACAACGACCTCAAACGTGACGCAGGGAGTTAGTGGATGCAGGTGGCTCAAAGTTAAAACCTTTTATTATGACAGTCTAAGTTTAGACGGCTTATGACTACTGAAATTATGATAAACGAAAGCTCTTAGTATATTTATATGATAGAATACTACTATGAACTTATATTAAATACAAATTAGTGTCACAGATGTTCATAGGCTTGTCTTTACTGCTGACCATTTATCATATGACAGGCTGGACGCTTATTGCTACCTTCATGGTATAAAAAAAATGCAAATTAGAGGATTTTGAAGACCGTTTGCTTATTCAATATAACATCATTGAAAGTTAGTTTCAGACCAAAAGAACTAGGAGTACATACCAAAAGTTAAGACAGAGCAAGAGTCAGATTATAGAACTTACGAGAAAATTCTTAGTGCTTACAAGTATACACAAAACAAAATCTTATTAACCTGGTTATATTTATCTCTTATTCTGTGCTTTCAAAAGGTTTTATTTTTCTTTAAATTTTTACTGGAAACGTGCTAAGTGTTTTCCAAAAACATTTTCTTTAGTTGGTTAACTGCGTTCGCGTTATAATTTTATATAAGGTTATTTTAGTCTAAATCTATCTGGTTCTAATTTTTGTTCCGTGCTGTTTGTTTCATTTCAATGATTTAGACTAAACAAATATTTGGAGGAGTATGGGAAGAATGAGTTAATTTGATAAAACTCACCTAGATGTAAGAATAAATACTTTGTTCGGTGTGAGTTGGACTTCCTGTGAAAAGTCCTGGTGTAAGTATCCAGGTCGACAGTTTACTGGCGTCGGTGCGACATTCGTTGAGAATGCTAAACAGTTTCTGCTTAAAAACGAACGACTACAGTTTATGGTGAGCTTATTGCACTATCCAATTCATAGGTGTTGTATTTATAGTCAATACAAGGCGTTTTAAATGTGGTCCATTGATACTCTCATTATAATTTAAAAGCAAACGAAAATTAGTCACTCTATAAATTATTTTAAAGTTAAACGTCTTCAGAGATGTCGTGATGATGTTTAGCTTAGAATTTGTGTATTTTACCGATTGTTTAAGAGAATGGTATTCAAAATTAGCTGTATTGTTTTTCACTTCACTTAAGAATCTCTTAATTTGACTTTTTTTTATTTAACCTTTTGGGGGAATCCTTTGTTTACATTACCAATATGACTGATGTACAATGTCACAAAAAATAACATGAAAGTATTTTA